GTGGAATTGCACCCAAGGGCTTTAGCTGTTGGTGGCAGTCAGTCAGAGTGGCTTCCACCACTGCCATCTGGAAGCAGCACAGCCTCGGGTCTTTCTTTCCATTTCACATCAACATTCTGTACTTACAGAATCAAGCACCTAAGTCATTTATTTTTCACACTTTTGTTTTTCAGGTCAACACATTTTAAATTTGTACTTCAGGGACTACCTACACCTTTTAAAAACATTTTTTTCTCTCTGTCCCTTTATAGAAGTGCTTTTCAAGCTGCCCTTTAAGGAGTTCCACGGGGTGCTGACGAGGTGTCCTCAGAGATGAGAGGGCTCCGGGCTGTTTCATCAGTCTATACATGGGTTTTTCACACAGGTAGTGTTTTAAAAATAGTTACTAGGATTAACTGTTTTAAAAGTTCTCCCATAATGACAAATTTTTGGTAAAAGTGTTACAACTATTCTATACATTTTCTTTTCTATTACTTACAGAATTTAAAACAATTAATCATAGTATCTAAGAGCAATGACAAACACCATTTTGTTAAAACTGAATCTTAGGGCAGATTTCTATTCCAGGCAATATTCTGTGAAATTAATGGATTATTTCACTATTCCACTGAAAATAATATGGAGAATCAATGTAATTATATATTCATTCATATAAAAATGCTTCATTTTCATTTAATAAGGTTAGTTTCAGAGGTCTGCAATTTAACAAGGTAAAAGTAACCATCACAGATACAACTTAATTGCTTAGTTGGCTTAGTTTTGAAACTTAAAATAGTCAGCAATTGCAATTTAAGAAAATCTTATTGACAGTTAATATTCATATTTCTCAGTTATTCCCAGAATTTTATAAAGTTATTGAATGAAAACCTATACTGGATTTCTCTCTCCCACTACTACCTTCTGTGTTTTTGAGATTGGAGGCAAATCTTATTTTATGCTGGAAATGGTACTTCCTGAAAATAGTAGAATAATCACCATACAATTCTTTCTACTTGTTAACCTTACACTAAAAACAAAAAAACTCCCACCTTCCACAAAATCTTGGTCAATCCATACAGGTTCAGGTTTGAGATTAAAATTTATTTAAAGACTATCACAAATAAGCATAAATTAGTTTCCTTTCATCATCAACAGTTAGGGCCACATATATGCCAGGAAATCTACTAGGGAGGCCCTGGGGGTAAAGCTACAATGAGATAAGGTCTCTGCCTTCACATGCTAGAAAGGAAGCGATCATGTAAACAATTACAGAGTTTTATAAAGACCAAAGTAGAGGTTTGTATAAGATGCTGTGAGGGGAAGGGTCATGTCCAAGAAAACCTCCTCACTCTGGCTGGTGTGCCTCAATGGATTGAATGCCAACCTGTGAACAGAAGGTTGCCGGTTCAATTCCCAGTCAGAGCACATGCCTGTTTCAGGTCAGGTTCCCAGTTGGGGGTGCTCAACAGGCAACCAATTGATGCATCTCTCACACATTTTGATGTTTCTCTTTCTTTTCCTCCCTCCCTTTCCCTCTCTCTAAAAATAAATAGAAAATTAAAAAAATGAAAACGCCTTCTCAAAAGAGACATTTTTAATTATCACATTGGTTGGTAGTTTGAATGAAATACTACTGATAAAACAGTACAAGAAAATTTGCTGACCTTTAATCCTAAGGAAAGCATGTGCTTCCTTTTACATGACTAATTTAACATACTTTCCTTTACATTATTAATATTCTTAGTAAATGCTCGAATAGTTCTAACAAGTAAATGCTTGAATAGTTTTAACAGGCCTTTACAGTTTACCTTTTTTAACAGTTTACCTTTTTTAACAGTCCACTTGAGTGAAAGTAATGTAAAACAAACAGAGTATTTGCCATTTGGAATGTATTGATAAGGATGATTGAGAACCTTGTGCTTTATGTGTTACAGACCATCGAGATAATAGAAGTATTTTAATGACCTACTACTGTTTGTCTTTTCTAGATGAAAACTTTTCAATTCCTCATAATAAAAGGGGAGTTCTTGGAATGGTCAACAAAGGCCGTCACAGCAATGGTTCACAGTTCTACATCACACTACAAGCGACTCCCTACCTAGATAAAAAATATGTGGCTTTTGGGTATGTGTATTTAAGTTTGTGTATATTATATTCATATATGTAAAAATGTGGTTCAAAATATTTAAGTATTATATGAGTAACTAAGAGAATTTAGTTCTAAATTTTCTTTAGTTACTAAGAGAATTTAGAAGCAAAGAGAACTTAAAAGCAAAAATAATACATATTTAGAGATAAATTATTTTGTAAGAAACTTTTATCTATAAACATAGAGACCATTTAGGAGGCACAGCCCTTGTAATCTTATGTTCATCCATCTATCCATCCATTTACATTCAGCCTCAAGGATATCAATTCTTAATTACTATAAATACCATAGTGTTTAATAATGTAGCTGTATTTACATGCAGAAGTGAGGTGAAACTATTTAATTGTCTATGAACACTGAGGGGATGGATGAAAACTACCCAATTTGCAAGTAACTTTTTTATTTCTTAAGTATTTTATTTATTTTATTTTGAGAGGAGAAGAGGAGGGAGAGAGGGAAAGAAACATTAATGTGTGGTTGCCTCTTGTATGCTCCCAACTGGGGACCTGGCCTGCAACCCAGGCATGTGCCCTGACTGGGAATTGAACTGGTGACCCTTTGGTTCACAGGCTATAACTCAATCACTGAGCCACACCAGCCAGGGTACAAGTAATTTTTTTTATTGAGCAATTTAAAATATGGAACTATCTTAGGTAATTATTACCAGAATATTATTAGCAAGATGCTTATAGGCATGTGAACCTTTTCATCACTTGTGTTTCATATCTCTACTTATTTAAGTGTCTTCCCTGAAATGATGTAAAGTGTTAGAATTTTTCTGAGTATTTTACATTATTCCAGCCACTCCGTGGGGATAATTATTAACTCTTCATTACATGGAGAAATTTCATGCCAGTGTTCATTTTAACCACAAATTTTGTATGTGGCCATTGAGTACTTGAAATACGGCTAATGCAATTGAGGAACTAAATTTTATTCATCTTAATTAAATTCAAATAGCCACACATGCCCATGTTGGGCACTGAAGTTCTAACAGAACTTCTAGGACTTTGGAACCTGTTGAATGGTTGGTGCCATTCACCAAGATAGAGAATACAAGCAGAAGGATATGGGAGAGATCATGAACTCAGGATGGGCAAGTTATGATTCGGATTAAGACACAACAAGCAGGTGGCAACTTCTGAATACCAGGAGTAGATGCTCAGGCTGGAGATGTAGATTTGGGAAGCTGTTGGTGTGGCAGCTGAGCTACAGCTGGAGCAGTGTACCATCACTCCCATTAACAACTTCTAGGCATTTGCTGGTTTGTTCATTCTGCCTCCCTCCAATCTGCCAAAATTCTATTCATGGCTTAGGTCAGAAACCTCCTTGATTACCAAGTTGTTGTCCTCTTTGGCACACTGTGAACAATTGGAGTAGGGACTGGGTCTTACTCATTTTGTGCCCTAACACCTATCATAGTGGATTGGTGCACACAGTAGGTGCTTCAGTATTTGTGAAACCAATTTGGAGACTAGGCGTCGCCTCTTTGGAGAGGTGAATCTGTCCCTTTCCCCCTGCTCTTCATTGTCACAATGTACCTTCTCTGTGTCACGGTTTCTGAATCGGATGGCAAAAATGGAGCATGACAAAGATGACTAGAGCATGATCAGTGTTAGCACTGTGTCCCTCCAAAGGTGCATGAAATGGAAATTGCATCTTCCCCTCAGCCACAGCTCAACCCAAGCAAGCACTGATAGAGGACACTGGTCCTATGCTTAGGGCTCTCTTTCAATTGAACCATCCGACTTACACCTAATGGCTAGCGAATGTCTAGAGACTCTTAACTAGCGTGGCTTTGAGCTGTCTTTTATTCATGTATCCAATGGATGTTGATTAGGTGCCCACTATGTGCTAGGTGTTGAGCATTAAGCAAAAGGATGATCTCTGTCCTCAGAACAGATCTCTGTCCTGTGATCAGAAATGAATCAAAGAACATACAAATATCAAATCTATTTGATATTACCAGAGATGCACCCTGGTAATTCCTCTAAAGGGGTCTGGGAAACTTCTACAAGTGATGACTGAGCTAAGATCTGAAGGCCAGGAAGTGACCATGCAGAGGGGTTGGGGTAGGGGCAAGAGCAAAGGAGACAGCTGTGGCAGGAGGCGCTGAAGGTGCTACTGAAGTACTGAAAGCCAGTCAGTACCTCTGCTGGAGCAGAGATCGCAAGGGGAGCATGCTGCCAGGTAGCCCTAGAGGGGTATGGGGAGACTGGCCAGGGTGGAGATTCAGTTTTAGCATAGGGATAATGGGAAAGTATCTACTACTACTTAAAGCAGGGGAGCAAGATCAATCTATTTGCATTTTTAAAACCCCACCCTGATGGCTGTGAGAAAAAGACAGTAAGGGTCCCAGAGAGGTGTAAGGGAACCCTGGCAACACGGACACATTGAGAGCTATTTAAGATATTTATGACTGATGTTAATTTAATTTGTAGGAAATATCCTTAGCTAAGCTAGATAGGACTCAATTTAGGAATGTAAGCTAAACGTGAAAATGTATGACTAAATTTTCCACACTTTCTCCTACATTAGGCAATTAATCGAAGGAAAAGAAGTTCTCCAGCAACTAGAATTGGTTCCAACAGAGAATGAAAGACCAATACAACCATGTACAATTGATGACAGTGGAAATATTTATGCTTGATTTTTGTATCAATATTTCCTGATAATTACCTGACCAGCTGTTTCTAGATTTAAACCATGCTTAATAAAATTTAATGTGAAAGCTGTGGCAGATGCTGTAGGTTGTCTCACCCAACACCCATTATCTCCCCATTTTCCTTTTGTGCATTTGCCAGAGACTGTAAAAACACAAAACTGAATTTCCCAGACGCCTTTACTGCCAGGAGTGGCTGTGGGATACAATTCTAGCCAGGGAGACAGGAGTAGGCCAGTGATCCTGCCCTTTCCCCTTCACCCAGTCTTAAATGCAAAGAGGCTGGATCCATGAAAGGTAGGTCAAGTGCCCTGGCTGGTGTGGCTCAGTGAATCTAGTGCTAGCCTGCAAACCAAAGGGTCACTGGTTTGATTCCCAGTCAGGGCACATGCCTGGGTTGCAGGCCAAGTTCCCAGTAGGGGGCGCATGAGAGGCAACCACACATTGACTTTTCTCTCCCTCTCTTTCGGTCTCTCTAAAAATACAATCTTTAGGGGGAACAAAAGGGCCAAGAGAACAGAGATGTCAGCCCCAACTCTTGAACTGTGTAACCAGTCCCAGCCAACTGCCTATCTTTGGACCTCTTACTACAGGAGAAAAATAGACCCTTGTTTAGGTTACTGTTGGTAGAGTATTATTACTTGTAGCCAAAACCATACCTAACAAATGGACTTTGAACCCTAAAATATTTGTAATTATCTGCCATGAGAAACTTAGTAAATAACCACATAGGAGGGACAATAGAAAAAAATAACTTTGTTAAATTTCCCTGTTTACACATAACATTCAGAAAAGGGCATCTTTGGATGTTTTTAGGGACATGAATACCCGTCTCTTAGCCATACCAACCAAGGGCTTAGGTTATAGTCCCCCTGGTGGTTGCCTCCTGTTAGCGGGGATGGAGCTTTATCAGCTGCTCCTTAACGAGATCTTCAAATCCATGTCACCCTGGGAACTTTTTCAACAAGACTGCTGGATCCTGTCATTGACCTACTCAGTCTCAAACACCCGAGAGATGGAGATTTTGCGCATTCATTTAGCTCTCTCCCCAAAGGTTCTTATTTAGCACGCTGGGCAAAAGTTGTTTGGGAATCACTGAAGACCTAAGTAATGGTTTCAGCCCCCATTTCAGTGACATATTTGACTCAGTGGTGACCCTGCTAAGCCGCCACTGCCACCACTACCACTGCCCTCCTGCTCCACCAGAGCCATTGTGCTTTTCTTGCCCTTAGCAGGCTTGTCTTCAAACGTGACCTCTCTTTGAGCCAATCTTAGACAGGTCTCTAAGTGACTTAGGGCTTGCCAAAGGTGTGTGTTTAAAAAAAAAAAAAAAATTACAGATACACAGGAAGTTGCAAAAATAATACAGAGCAGTCCAGTGTACGACCACCCAGTTTCCCCATTGTGCCTCTTATTCAACAATACAGTACACCAAAATAGGCAGTTGATATTGGTACAACATATATTGTCATTTCATCATGTGTAGACTCATGTGACTGACACCACAATCAAGACACAACTTTCCTACTCTACAGACTTCCCTGGGGCTACCCCTTTGAAGTTCTATCTACTGCCCTGCCCTCTACCATCTTTAACTCCTGAAAATTGGCGTATTTATATATTTATATACATACACACTCTTTAATAGCTCATTAGAATAGAGCATATGGTTTTATACTAAGATCTGAAGTGGATGGGGAGAAAGTATACTGCCTATGTCACATTCTCAACTGACCCAGAGATAGCAGTTAAGGTTGTGTGTCTTAGAGGCAGACAGCCTGGGTCTGAATCCTGGCTCTGCCACTCCCTAGCTGCAAAAGCTCAGGCAAGAACTTCACTGTGCCTCCATTTCCTCATCTCAAAATAGTAGTAACTACCACAGAGAGTTGTGAGGTTCAAGGAGTTGATACCTTGTGGACAGGACCTAGAGTAGGGCCTGTTACACTGTGAGTGCTCAGTAAGTTACCAGTGTGTAACCTTCAGGGTGTTGTCCAGAACTTGCATTTTTTTTTCAGCTAAAAGTAAGTTTATTTAAGCACAAAAGGTGAGTCAACACAAAGAAAATAGAAGTAGCAGTTCCTGCAGCCTAAGGCAGGTGTGTCCTCCCTGGGTGGGCCTGGGGCCATCTGGTGGTGAGGTGCTACCTGGACACCCTGCTTGCTTACAGGGGCCTGGTAGGGCATGTGCTCAAAGGCTTCTCTGAGGATCCAGCCTGCGTGGGGTAGGCAGGGTCCCGGTGGGCTGGGCCTCAGTCACTGTCATGCCCTCGCCTCCTCTTGCAGCAGGGTGAGGAGTCCGAGTCGTGCCTGCGATGGTGGGCCCCGGATGGAGCTGGGGATGGCGAGGAGGCTGCCCTGGTCCTGTGCTCCTTTTCTCTCTTCTTCTCTTTCTTGTGCTTCTTTTTCTTCTTCTTTTCTTTCCTGCTCTTCTTGTGACTCTGGGGGCCCGGTTCCTCCTTCTCCTCTGGCCTGGCCTTCTTCCGGGCCGGGGAGGCCCCAGGCCGACTGCTCTCCACTCGGTGGTGTGTGAACACTGGGAGTCCCAGCTTAGCTGCCTCCTTGTCTTCTCGGGACAATGCCACTCGGCCTGCAGACCCACTGGAGCTCCCCAGGCCTAGGAGCCGGTCCACTCCCTTCTCCTCAGGGTCACTTCCTTCACGCTTGCAGATCTCCACAAAGTCCTCCTTGCTGAGGCCGGTGGGCTGCTTCTTCACGTTCTTGTAGCCCAGTGCCGCCATGAGTGCCTCTTGCTCTGCCTGCCTCACGGCCGCCAGCTCTTGCTCCCGGCTCATCCCCGTGCAATCTGCTCGGCCCTTAGTGTACCAGGTGAGGTCACGGCCCTTCTGCCAGCGGCCCACTGGGGCCATCAGCGAGTTGCCCAAGTAGTTTTCCCGCTGCTTGTCAGTCTTCACATCCTCCCAGCTGAACTGGTCCTGCCCACCCCGCACACCGCCTCGGCTAGAGCCAAACATGGTGCCAGCTGTCCGTGTGGCCTCTGGTCTGCAACTTGTATTTTTAAAAGCCCCTCAATGACTGACTGACAGCCAGATTTGGGAATCACTGAAGAGGAGCTATCTCCTCTTCCTCTCTTAAGTTTTGGCCAACCTGACAACTCACGCTGTTGTCTGAAGTCTCCAGATCCTCTCTGGACCTTTGGATGGGTTCCTGTGGCCACACTGGGGATGGACGTCTCAAAGCAGGGAGTTGGGCTTACCACAGGGACTCTCACCAGCTAGTGGAACATGTGATGAATGAAACCAATGCTTTGCAGAGATCCTGGTTAAAACATATTACAAGAATTAATCATATAATATCAGGAAGCAGAGTAATTCTTACTGGCAATAAACCTGTATATCATGACATTAAATATTTTATGTGAAAGAACTGGATTATCTGCATGGGTGTAAGAAACTGATTCTAGCTCCCCTATTTTTCAGGTTAGCTGCAGTATGAAGGGAGAACACTGCAAATTTTGTAAAGAATGCCACATTCACAGTCCACTCGTTCCCTCTCACTTTCCACTCTCAGGCTGTGTAAGTTTTGCTGATTTGTACATGCAGTGGTTATTACCTCCACTTAAAGGTATACACAGTAATACCTCTCTATCAGAACATAGTATATATTAGAACGATTTGTATGTTTAAACATGTTTGGAGAAACTGATTGTTACAAACGACTCAAAAGCTTATTCCACTTAACTCCAAATATAAGACTTTAACCAAATTGAAAACTTTAATTTAATTAAGCAGAAGAAATTCTAGATTTTTCCAAGTCTACAAATATGAGTAGAGTCATTCTGATGATTTATACAAAATGTTAGTTATATGACCTTGTCCTAGTTGCTGGTATGTCACAGTCAAGTACATAGGCTGTTATCTTACACTAAGCCATATTAATAAGAAGAATGTGGTATATGGACATTCTTATTTTAGGAGATTTAAAAAACATTTAAATTCCATCTAAAGAATTCTCCCCAACTGCAAACAATGCCAGTTATTTGTTGATGAAAGATTAGTCTGGTAACCTCAGGATCCCAGTCGGAGTCTTTCCACTTTATACATATTTTAAATTAGGCGTGTTTTAGTCCCAGCTACCTAGCACTGTGGCTGTTAAATTACTTAACCTTTAACTCTCCCTCATTTGTGAGAAGAGCAGAGAAGTGAAACACCTGTTAGCTCCCTTCCATTAATAAGTTCATAAAATCACCAACAATATCATTATTCACTTTGGGGCTTCAATTTCATTAGTAAAATGAGGGTCCATCTATCTCATAGTGGTCTGAGGATTAACTGAGATAATATGTGAAGATACTTCCCATGGTGCTTGACCCACAGCAGACATTAAATAAAAATTAGTTTCCCTTCTGGAATATCACCTCACCAAAAAAAAAAAAGTCAGTCAAGCTGACACTAACAGAACGGCATCATCAAGAAACATCGAGTCCCTGTTATGTTTAGTATTAACTATTCTAACATCGTTAATTTTCAACTGACTGGATTAATTCATACTCAAAATTAAAACTGATCTCTAAAATTCTGTGATATTCTCTTCTGTATGGAAACTCATTTTTTAAACTAGTACTTTAGTGATTATACTATTACTATTCCCAAAATGGAATCACAACTTCAGACTTGCAAATCTAGTCAGTCCATATCTCAAATAAACTTTATACAACATATAAAATACCTGCAACAATCTTAACAGTAACATATACAACATAAATTACGAAGTTGGTATTTGATATGGGGTTTTGAAAATGTGCTAAATCATAGGTTCATTTTCTTCAGTGTGCATCAGAAGTGCTTGAGCCTCTAAAATCAGATTTCTGGGGCTCATCCCTGATGTATAGTCAATGTAAATTCTCCCCAAACTTTTATCTTTCTGCTTCAAACTCACTGTATAAAACAGCACCTCCCTTCCCCATCAACCCCAGGACGGTGGACAGGTCCGTCATCTCCATTAAGCCCTACTGCTGTTGATGGTTCAAACTACATGTCCCAGGATCTGGTCCTTTTCCAGATTAGCATAGGCTCAACAAACCCTTGCAGGACAACTTTTGGCCTCAAAGATTTTGTTTAACAGTGCTTATGCAGACATCTCTTTTTGGTGCTTTCAGATTAAAGTACATGTCACAAAAGCAATTACTGTTCGTATGTATTTTTTTAGCGTAAATGTGCATGATTAACGTTACCATGATAAACACAAATAGCTGAAAACAGACATTAGATACTTAGCTTTTACAATCCAATTTTTACCATTTGATGTAAGCATGGCTGCACTTGTAAATGTTTCCGTGAGACTGGACATCAGATGGCGCTCACCCTTAATAAAAGCCCGAGCAGCGACAGAAATTAACAGACATTTCTAAATCAAGCCCTGATGCCAAGCAATCAGTGCGTTTTGGTCCAGTCACTAATGAATCTGTTTACTCACCTGCAAAGTTGAGACAGGAACCTATCAGATGGATTTTCAATTCAGATCCGTCTTCGATTTTCTGACTATTGGCTGCTGCTATAGCTGGCTGAAATAGCGAGAAATTCGGAAAAGTCATGATAGGAGAATGTTAAAGAGACGGTGTGCGGCTCCGGCAAGAAAGCAAGAGACCACTTTCGGTGTTTTGCGTCTCACACAACGTGGGCGGCCGGGCAGAAATCCCTTAACCACGTGGTCTCCATTTCCCTAGGGAGTCCCAACACCAGGTGACTTCCAAAAAAATCGACTTCTAAGATAAAAAGCATGGGCCCTATTAAATACAAACACTCGCAAGACCTTGGGAAAGCGGAAGCACGGCCCAAATTTAAATGTTACCCGGTCGTAACGCACCGTTCAGAGACTACTTCCGCCCTGGGCGACTCAGGTCCGGAAAGCGAGGCCCTGGGGTCACGTGGGGCTGCGGAATTCACAGCCTCACTGGTCGCTCCGGGGGACGCCATGCGTCACGTCACGTAGATTGTTCCATCCAAGCCAGGGTGGGAGCCTTCCTTACTGCAGGAAAAAGAAAAGTCCAGTTACGTCCTGTATGGTAACCATAAGGTAAATAAATAGATTTACATGTATAAGACTTCCAGTGTTTTGGAATGTTACAGTCTCTTTTGGGGACAACAGTTTATTCTAGATGCCTTTGTTCCCCCTTCCATAATATTCCAGTTGGTATCGGCTACACCTTGCTTCCGCCCGCTACGCCCCCGCACGCCGTGGCCTGGGTCCCTCACGTGACCGCAGCGCGTTCCTGCAGGGGGAGCAGAGTGTGGGAGGAGCAACTGCGAGAGACTGTGGTGCCCACCGAGCGTTGTGCGTTGCAGTTTTGGGCAGAAGACCGACGGTGAGGTCGCGATGTCGGGGCTCTCCCGCCTGCTGCTTTGGGCCGTCGCCTGCGGGGCCGCGCTCTGTGTGCTGACCGCGCCTCAGAACACCACTCTAGACCCGAACACGACTTTAGCGCCCACCAACCACACACTCTCGACGCTGTTGACGACCCTCGTTCCGGCCACCACCCCAGCACCAGGTGGGTGCCGGCCCAGCCGGCTTCCTGCTTTCTCTCGTTCCCCCGCCCGGGCAAGCTGCCCTTGTAGCCCCGCGGTCCGCGGTCCGCGCTCCAGCAACATGGCGGCCCGTCCAAGTCCAGTCGGGGCCGGGCGCGGGGTGGCCGGGGTGGCGAAGCGCCGGGGTGAGAAGGCGCGGCGGAGCCCTTGGGGGCCTTTATAGTTTATAACACCAGTGTTCCAGTCCGAGGTGCTCTATAAAAGTGGAGACTATAAAATCTCCAGCTTGCAGAAGGGACGTGGCTTCCTTCCACGGTGGCGGCACTGGGGTTGATCATGGGGCAAGCTGACGCGACTCCTAAATTGATGATGAGACCGAGCTCCATCTCCCTAAGGTTAGTCGTTTGTCCACCCAGGTCTTCAGTCCAAAGGGAGGCTTATCCAGAAGTTGGCAGAAGGGGGAAGGGGGAACTGAAGACATTAATTTTCTCTTGGGTCTCGAGACTTGGGTCTGAGAAATAAGTCGACTGAGATTTAATTACGTTAATTTTGCGGATAGGTATGAGATTTACCTCAAGTTTGAGCGTTAATTAAAACTTTGCAACCCGCGCTATGTGCAAACGACGAAAAGTACCCAGTCGTGTATCCAGTGTTTTGCGTATGTCTCTTAGGCTAAACTAGAAGATAGGTGGTGAAACCGAGGAGTGGAGCAGAAGTAACTGCTGGGACCGTATGTATAGTAGATTGTGAAGCTGGGAGTGGAACCAGGTCTATTCCATTTTCTAGACCTCGATCGGGAGCACCCCTTATGTTGGTCTTTGCCGTCTACTGATTGAGGCTTACTCTGAACCTTGGCAATGCCGTGACAATTCAAAAGAGAATGGAAGATAAATTTGAGATAGTAAGGTAAAGAAACTGGATGTATAAAACTTGCAGTCTAGTGTGGGTGGTTAGTCTAGGTAATAATGGGTAAGTAACTGGCGTTTTCATGAAATGAATAATCGTTAGCTTTTATCTTAGTGTTTTTCTTAAGGTTGATCATACTCTTCTACAATATCTTCCCTAGTTTTTGTATTTTATAAAAGTTTAATAACATATTAATGAACTTAAAAGTATTAGATTCAGAGCGATATAATGGTAACATTTTAAGTTTTTTAAATGAAAGGAAATTGCAGTTTAATACTGGAAGTTCTGACCCGCCCCGTTTTTAAGATGATAAAGTGGCATATGTTGCACCTCCTAATTACGTGGCAGTTTCCTCTCAGAATTGTAGTTTGGTTGTGGGTTTTTTTTTTTTTTTTTAAGAGAAGCTTGGAAATATGAAATTAATTGCCTTTGTGTAATTTAATGCGTACAAAGGAGATGATTTGTGTTTTCTGTAAGTGGTAGTTCGATAGGCTGCAGTCTGAAAGGTAAATTCAGTTCATTGTGTTACTATGCTACCCAAACATTCATCATCAAACACAAGAGTTTAAACAACTGGCGTTTTTCATCTATGTACAAATCTCTGAAAGACTTATTTCTGCTTTGTGACCCCTGCCCCCACGTGTGTCCCCAGTCTCGGATAAATACTAATGATGAAGTATAGAAACGTAAGCCCAGTTCTATAATCTATTTGTCCAGACATCGAATTGTAATTAGCTTTCTTTGAAGTCTTGTTTCTGGGACATTTGGCTTAAATTATCAAAAAAGGTCTTACTAATTTGTTAAATTATGTGTGCATGGCTGTAGCCCTCTCCAAATGTGTTGTCTCTTATTCTTCAGTCATAGAGGACTTTGGAAAGTGACGATCATTTATTAATGAGTCTCTGGGGTTTTTCAGAATGGGCATCATCAGATCTTGGGCTCAACCTGTAATACATCTTTATTACTATTAAAAATTGTGTCTCATCTGATGTTTTGGGGTAGTGAGATCTCTGTTTATATTGTTGGCCTTGTAACAGTCCTTTTTGTTCTCCAATATTTTTATTTTTTAAGGATGCTTTAAAGTGCATTACGAAATCCTGAGTCTCGGTGAGAGTTGCCATGTAAAGGTTTGTTGTAGATAGGTACCACAGAGTACTCAGTGTTCCACTAACTTGTGTTTTCCCCCTTCCCCTTGAGTCGACTCAGGCCTCAAGTCATTTAAAACAATTGGAATTTCCTAACCAGTTTATAAAGTTTTTTGTGTGGTTAAAAAAAACACATGAGATCTACCCTCTTAACAAATTTTTAAGGGTATTGTAAGTATTAACTGTAAGTACAGTGATACACAGATCTCTAAAACTTTTCATCTTGCATGACACTTGATAGTCGACTGTTCTCTGTTCTGCCCCTGTGCCTTGCAACCACCATTCTACTTTTCTGCTTCTGAGTTTGACTCTTTTATTTTAAGATTTTATTTATTTATTTTTAGAGATGGGGGTAGAGAGGGAGAAAGAGAGAGAAACATCGAACTGTTGCCTGTTCCACATGCCCCAGCCAGGAACCAGGCCCAAAACCAGGCAGGTGCCCTGACCAAGAATCCAGCCAGGGACGTTTTACTTTTGCTGGATGACATTCAGCCAATTGAGCCAGGGTGATCAGGGCTGAGTTGACAATTGTAGATACATACAAATGGAATTATGCAGTGTTTGCCCTTCTGTGACTTGCTCATTTCACGTAGCATAATGTCTTTAAGGACTGTCCATATTGCAGTGTATGACAGGATTTCCCTTTTTTAAAAACTGAGTAACATTCCACTGTGTATGTATAATACATGTTTGTTACCTTTTAATCTACTGATAGGCTATAAAGTATTACCATTCTCTGAACTAGTAAGTCTCGTATGTAATGCTTACTGTGTTAAAAAATAAGTAATAGAAACCCAGTATCAGTTGCCAATTAATTGATTTCATACATTCCTCCCTACCTCAGAAACCTGTGAAAACCGCAACAGCTGCATTTCCTGTGTTAATGCTAGCAATCCTATTGCTAATACTACCTGCTTTTGGATGGAATGTAAAGGTGAGAAACTTTGAGGTTGTTTTAATTTTGAGAATACAAAACTGTTTTTGTTACAACACTTTAACAAATACTACAGGATATCAAACATTTGAAAATTATGTGGAACATTTATGTCAGTGTGCACTTTTTTTTTACAAGTCAAGTACTTTTCCTATACAGTACCAGTTACCTAACACTTCCCCCTAAAATCTCTTCTTGTCACCCATTCCCTTAGCCCCCTTTAATTCTTTAGACTTGACAATTAAAGCTTAATAGTTTTAAAGGAAGAGAGATGATAGATCTTTGTAGGATACAGTGAAAATAGCTGTGAAAGGAAGTTGTGAAATTTTCCTCTGGAAACTTCCCCAGAAAAATGTTGGAGGCATTTAATTCTCCATGTGTCCAACTAAATGAACTTAGAGAGACCTTATGAAACTTAAGGGGGAAGGATGAGGTGGGGAGTCAGTTGATTCTTCGCTCTGCTTTTGTTAAGTTTTAAAGTTACTTTAATTTGAGAAATAAAGAGTTAGATGGAGGTACTTGGAAATGCCAATTAGGTTTTTGTTAGAACCATGGGAGTACAGCATAAATTGTTTTCTAAGTGTAAGGTGCTTGCATTTTTTCTCTTATCAGTATAGCAGTTTTTTTAACATACAAAAAAAGAGCCAAAGCTACATGTTAAGCTTCTTTACTCTTTATTGCAAAATTTAAGAGTTCTGAATATTATATCAATATGTAACAAAGTTTAAAAACCTCTTTAAAATTAAGGTATTAGTTTAATTTTTGGGGTGGTTTACTCTTATATAAGAGTCGCTTTTTTTTTTTAAGTTCGTAAAATGGAATTTAAAAGCGCAGCCCTCCCCCATATGTGTGTATGGCAGAGTTGGCAGGTTTTGGAGCTTAAATTACCCTTTTGTGGGATTTGTAGGGGAAAGCACTCCCTAACTCCTGCTATAAGTCTTTCATTAGCAACTGATTTTAGAAAGTGTAGAAGATGCAGAGATGAGGAACAGAGGACTTGCTGCTGCCTTGGCGGCACCTCCCCTTTTACTAAGCTTTTTTCGATCCTGACCACTTCTCCCTGCTGACTCAGTGCTCACGTGCATTCGAGCAGCCCTCCCTTGGACAGCAGTCACACTGCAAGTCTAAGATCTAAGTGTTTCTGGGTTTTTTGTTCCGTATTTTCATGTGGATTTTAAAAGGATAATATTTGGAAAGATGCTATATAATATTGCTAAAATAATGGGGGAAAGAATGACAGTATTTTGTTGGTGTGTGAATAGACTTCTATAGCATTATGCCTGAGTTTTTGGAAGCTGTCCTGGAGCTCAGTAATAAAGTCAAAGATAGTATTGAGTGATTGATGCTGTTTATCTTGTTTGTTTTTTTCTTCCGTAACAGGTAAAAGCTACTGTTCACATAATTCAACAGCCACTGATTGCCAGGTGGTGAACGGTACAGACTTCTGTCACGGTAAGTGTTACACTGGCTGCTGGGGAAGTGGGCACAGAGAGGTGCAGAAGATCATTGTTTCAGGAAACCTTATTTCAGTGCTTGGTTTGAAGCATTTCTGTAGTTCTAATCTTGTTACAGGTTTCAACATGAATAGCATTTACATTGGTTGCTAAAAGAACAACAGTGTTTCGAAGCTTGGTTTAGTGATTTGGCTATACTGGGAATTCTGTAAATATAGATTCTTCCTCTCATTATAGTTTTTCATTCTTCCAGAAACTCATTGCTGTTTAGACTCTCTATTTGCATTCTACAGGCCTGGACAGTCTTATTCTGACAGTTTCTTGGTTATGGTGTTAATTATGTCATAGTGTCCAGATAGTATGTGCTGTGGTTAAGTAAATCTTTTTATTCATCTATTTTCTATACTTTAAGGAACTTAATCACTCTTTAACCTTTACTCTTTGCTCAGGAAATAGTCAAAATTCCTAGCTGAAATGGATTTTTCAAACAAGACTATAAATTAATAGGAAAGTCAAACTCCTAATTTGGTGCGTAGCTAATAATTAAATTGAGCAAAAGGTTTTTCTGCAGAGTATCAATAACCTTAAGAGACTACCATCAACTAATTTTGTTTGGTGGTAGTTTTCCCATCTTCCCTCTTCACAACTTGAACTTTGTAACTTAGAATTTCATTAGCATGAGATCAATTATGTTCTATGTAGAGTGCAGTAACATTGTTTAGGTGGTAGATGAACATTTTTAATAGTTATTTTAATGTTTGTTAGAGAAACCAGTAACTGTGTCAGACTTTTGATTTCATAATATTGCTTATAAAAAAGATTAAGTGAAACATTTTAAGGGGCAGTAAAGAAAAACTGAACAAATAATTCTGCTTATTTGATGATGTGTCAAATTAGAATGGTTTACAAAATAAATTCACTTTGCTATCCTGTAAAGGAAGTCTGGGCTCAAGTATAGCTAATGGGCTATAGTAGCAGCTTTACAACTATTAGGGACCCAGGCTGCTCCTAGGTTTTTACTGTCATTCCTCAAAAATGGGCTTTGACCTTATTCTCCAAGGTGAGTTCTCATGTTTCAGCCATGTAATTGGTTTTCCTGCCAGCAGGAAGATGAAAGGAAAGAGAGGCCCATATCATTCCTGGCTGGGTAGCTCAGTTGATTAGAGCATCGTTCCAATATACCAAGGTTGCAGGTTGAACCCCCTATCAGAGCACATACAAGTTTCAACCAGTGAATGCATAAATAAGTGGAGCAACAAATCACTGTTTCTTTATCTCTTCCCCCTTCCTTTCTCCCTCTCTCAAAAAACAATAAAACTTTTTTTTAAAGGGAGGCCCATACCTACTCTGTTTGTTTTCTGGAAGTTACACATGACTATCTAGCTGCAGGGGCGGTGGAGAAATGTCTGCTGGGGGAAGAGAGGCATGATTAAAAATTGGTGCTCTTATTTCTAAGGAAGAAGGGTGTACTACTGGGTGAGAGAAACTGTCTCCTTCACAGATAGATAGTACTAAAATGTAAAAATTGTAAAGTGGCACTCAGATGGCTTCAGGTTAGGAAGTCGTATTAACAGATTGTGGTATTTAGACACCTTTGATGTATGTATTTGTTTGTTTTTTAAATAGCGCCCACTGTTGCTCCATCGCCAACCAATTCTACAGGTAACGTAATTGACTGTTTTTCTTGTCTTCCTTCTTTCAGGATTTTTAAGCTCTTCTGATGGATAATATTTTAGTAAATACCTAAAAGTCGTTAGTATAATTTTTAAAATTAGTAGACATATTTAGGTGTGGCCCACCACACTGATTATATTAGTGTGTGCTGTTGTGACAGTGACATGCAGCTTTGGTGTTTCACATTCATGGAGCTGAGCAGATTCCCTGTAGCTTTGCACATTGAGTCCACAAACTGCTTTTTGTGGACTTTGTGAAAATCTTCATAAATGCAAAAGCATAAAGGAAATTAAAATTCTATAATTCACATCATCCAGAGGTACACCAAAATGTTTTAAAAGTGATTTGAGTTCTTTTAGTCTTTTCTGTATGTATATCTAAATAAATAAACTTATGAAATCGGATAATATGTACTTGCATGTTTTAATTGTTTCCCTTTTACTACAAGCGTCGTGTGTACTTTGCACATTGTGCTTTTGGTTAAATGGTTTGATTGGAATGCCTTATAGGGAAATATTTGCTGTCATCTCTGATAGGGTTGATTCAAACAGCACTCCTAAATGATTGTCTTAAGACTCTCAGTACTGATTGCTTTCCAGAAAGATATGCTTCTTATTTTTGTCAACTTGAAAGTTTTTCACCACACTCAACAGCATTAGATGACATCTCCTATTAAAAATCTTCACCGGTTTGAGATGTGGCCAAGATGAAGGCATAGGTAGACATGCCTCACTTTATTGTACAACCATAGGAAGGAACACAACTAACTTAAAAAGGAAAAAGAATTGCCAGAAAATCACCCAGAAGTCTATGGAAGTCCGACAACCAAGGATTTAAAGAAGTTATATTCATCCAGACGGGTAGGAGGGGCAGAGAGGCAGCGGCAGCAGGCAGAGCGGGCAACCCCACATTCATGTTTGGTGGATAAAACTCACGGGGACACCTTGTGAGTAAGCCAGCCCCAGGATTCCAGCACTGGGGAAAAATAAAGCTGCATAACCTATGGCTGTTAACCCAGTGGGGATTGGGGTGGTAGAAGAAACTGCCCGTACACACGTTTAAACCCACCCACCTGGGAAGCACAACCAGGACAGCTACTGAGGGGCACCAGTTTCATATGGGAAGTGAGTGACTGGAAATGCAGCCAGGGCCAGGCAAGCCCCCGGAAGTTAGCCAGCAGTAGCATTGTCCCCTCTTGGACCCTTCCGTGACACATGGAGCCATGGTTGTCCTGCCCTGGCAAATACCCAGGGCTCTGCCCCATACGACCTAACAGGCCTGCTAAAGTGGAACCTAAGCAGCTCTACCGAGTATACAGGCACAAGGAGGCTGCCAAAAATCAGGAGACAAAGAAATATGGCCCAAATGAAGGAACAAACAACCCCAGAGAAAGAACTAAGTGATGTGGAGATAGCCAACTTATCAAATGCAGAGTTCAAAACACTGGTAGTCAGAATGCTCAGAACATTGAATATAGCAGAAGCATAAGGGAAGAAATGAAGACTCTACTTTGGAAAGTAGATAAAAATTTACAGGAAACCAACAGCAAAGGGAAGGGGAAGCCAGGATTCAAATCAGTGATTTGGAGCATAAACATTCAGCCAGAACAAAATGAAGAAACAATTCAAATGAAAATGAATTTTTGGGAAGACTCTGGGATATCTCCAAATGTACCAACATCTGAATCATAGCAATGCTGGAAGAGGAAGACCAAGACATTGAAAATTTATTCGAAAAAATGACAGGAAACTTCCCAAATTTGGCAAAGGAAATAGACATACAAGTCCAGAAACCACAAAGTCACCCAGACAAGTTGGACCCAAAAGAAGTTGACACCGAAACACATCATAATTAAAATGCCAAAGGTTAATAGTCCTGGCTGGTGTGGCTCAGTAGACTGAGTGCTAGCCTGCAAACCAAAGTGTCTCCAGTTTGATACCCAGTCAGGGCACATGCCTGGGTTGCAGGCTAGGTCCTGGGTTGCCGGCACACAAGAGGAAGCCACACATTGATGTTTCTCTCCCTTTTTCCTTCCCTTCCTCTCTGTCTAAAAAAAAAATCTAAATAAAATTAGTTAAAGATAAAGGGAGAATTTTAAAAGCAGCAAGAGAAAGGGAGAGTTAACTACAAAGGAGTTCCCATAAGGTTGTCCTCTGACTTCTCAAAAGAAGCTTAGTGGGTAGAAGGGACTGGCAAGAAGTATCCAAAGTGATAAAAAGGACCTCCATCCTAGATGACTCTATACAGCAAAGCTATCATTTAAATTTGAGGGGCAGATAAAGCACTTCCCAGACAAGGTAAAAGCTCAAGGAATTCATCAAGTCCACCATATGAAATGTTAAAGGGACTTATTTATGAAAAAATGTTATTATGTAATACTTCGGTCAAAAGTAAAAGTGTAAATGTTCAGACAAAATCAGTAATAGTGTCTTAAGATAGAAAAATAATTTGATGCATGTTTAATTTGTAAAGTATTTTTTGAAGTTACACAGAATGTATAAGCAAAAACAAAAAGACTTTGAAGGGGCTGTAAGTCTTAAAATAATCACACCCTCTAATCTGGGAATACTGTATAGGAATCAGTCCTATCCGAGATGAGATCACCCTGTAGGATGATAATAGTATGAAGGAATGAGAGCAGAGTAGGTAAAATGTGAACACTGGTGAGAGAAAAAGGGATACAAAGTGTATGGAAATTATCTGTCAGTGTTAACATATTTACTGCTATCCAACAATAGTATCAATACTAACAAAAGTCTCTACAGTGTTTTAGTTCCTACAAACAACTACATTCAGTCTATTTCTTAAGTGTATATTTCTTTAGAGGCATTGTTAGATAACTATTTGAGTGGTAGACTAGAGCTTCCACTGGGCTCTTCTAAATTAGGGGAATTGTGGCCTCAGGGCACCTGTTATAAATAAAGTTTTATCAAACACAACCATGCCCATTCATTTGCACATTGTCTTTGACTGCTTTTGCACTACACAGTGCACAAAGCCTAAAATGTTTACTTTCTGCCATTTCAAGAAAAATTTGCAACCCCTGAAATAAAGAAAAAAAGCAGATTCTGATAGACACGTAAGAAATACTGAGTTGTATTTCTTACCTTGACTTTTTAAGTCAGTAATTTTTGTCTTAGAAGCAATATTATTTGTAAAGAACCTATAGTTTCCTCGCATAAACACTAATTCTTACCCTTTTGTGTGTCTTTTTTGCAAACTTTATCTGGATGTACACGTAGATTTTGCGCAGAGATACAATTTATGATTGCTTAATGTTTTAAAATATATTTAAAAGCCAGTATTTTGTATATGTAGGTAAATTAGTGAACCATTAACTGTGAAACCATTCGACTTTTATTTTTTAAAAAATTGAAAGCATGTGGAAGTTGACAGTGTTACTTTAAAAAGGTAGATACTAGATAACAGAACTTCAGAGATTTAAGTTATTAATACCTTGTGTTTCTATTCCAGCTAAAACCACAACTGTGCCTTCCTCTTCTACAACTACTGTGCCAGGTAATGGAGACTTTCTAAACTGACAGCAAGGCAGGATGTGTGTGCACTGCTGTTGCCTTTTACTGTTTCTGCCGTCGTTTTGCAGTTTACTCGTGAATGGTTACGATCTCTTGTACGTCTTTAGAAAACTGACATAGGCTGCTAAAGCAGTAACGACAGTTTTTCTGAGAGTCTTTACCTAGGTTTTTTACATGTAATCACATGTGGAGTGACACATTAGAATGGCCTGTTTTTCCAAAACCCGTTTAGTGCAGCTTGTATGCGAAGTCTAATTTCTTGTAACTTAGAAATTAAATGCTGATTACTGTTAGGAATTGGTTGTGTGCTGTATTAGACCATAGTGGTTTGACTGAAGATAATAAAGCCATCCTTGTTACTGAGAAATACTTAAAACCCTGAACTTGTTAAACCTGTTAATAGTGATCTTGCAGCCAAGATCACTATTAGTGTGCAGCTTGGCCGTATTTCTTACTATTTCTCAAATTCCTTTGTAATAACTCTTGAAAGTACATGTGAAAATTAACTTTTTAATTAATGATTTGACATGTTAAATCTAAGTTATATTTAGACACAGATACACAGATTAGGAATCTTCCTTTCTATCCATATTTAAAATAACATTGTTTCTGATTAATCTTTTATAATTATTTGAGTTTTTGCCTTCATTCCTATGCTACCTTTATTTCACTTTTAGTGAATCCATTCTGTCTTCACAAGAAGAAATACAGAACATTTGTAATTAGTTTTAAAGCTGGTCTAATTATATAAAGCCACTAGAACCAGTGTTTATTTGGTATTCTATTTAAGAAAAATGTTAAAGTTAATTTAAATAAGAAATTGCTTTTTATTAAAAAGTGAGTTGGTGCTTCGCTTGAATCATTTAGTCCCTAAGAATTCAAATTTTTGTGCCTCCTTCCCCAGCCATGACTTGATAATGACTATCTCATATGTAAAGTCTGCAGAGTAAGATTTAAGATCATTTTAATAACAAGCTCTTTTGCTTATGGAATGATAAATTGCAGATATTTAAGATTTTTTATTTGAAAAATTGCAGCCAAATTTTAAAATTTACATTATATATTTAGTAAAACTCAAAAGTATGAATTTTCAACACAAATTAATATTTACTATTATTTAGCAATTACGTATAGTCTGAAGAAATTGCAAATTTTAAAAGTGCTTCACATGTTCCCAGGGCATAATTTATATAGCAGGAGAGTCTTTTTTTTTTTTTTGTCATTTTCATATTAAAGTTGTATAGCTACACTGACCACTTGATACCACCCGTCAGTGTGAAGCATGGTCTTGATAATTTGTCTTCCTCAAGCAGATAGTAAATTTTAGTTGTAAAGACTTGACAGAAGAGGAAATACGTTACAGAATTTAACACAAGGCAAAATAGAAACTCAGGTGGGTCTTGAAATCATGATAGAAGCTAATAAGACTTAACTGTTGTTTCTTCTATCTTATTTAACAGGTTCGCCTAATACCACTTTAACTCCGACTTCACAGCCTATGCGAAAGTCTACCTTTGATGCAGCCAGTTTCATTGGAGGAATTGTTCTTGTCTTGGGTGTGCAGGCTGTAATTTTCTTTCTCTATAAATTCTGCAAATCGAAAGAACGAAACTACCACACTCTGTAAACAGACCCGCTAGATTCACAAGGACTGTCACGTAACTCAATGAAACCAAAATACTATCTTTCAAGATGTCCCACATGGAAGACGCTATTCCAGGATCTTTAAATTTTCAAAGGATGCATATAAGATATTTTGGAGCATTGTACTTGAAGAAAAAGCAGTTAAATCATTTTGTTCAACAGGATATTTAAAATACTCTGCATGAATCCTTGTGGCTGTCTTCTTACATTTTTAACGGCTGCTGCTGTGGGATTATGTTCTCTTCTTGATATGCCAAATGTAACTCTGTGTGCGACAGGAGACACTGTCCTGCACAGACGACCTCGTGACCCGTTGCGCAGTTAGATTTAGTCATTTTGAAGCCTGAAAGCTGCATTATTGCCATCCTGACTCAGGATGTAGTGACCAGAACTGAGAAGGTGCTAAGTGAGCATCAATCAGGTGGAGTTTTGGCAACCATTTTAAAAATGGAATAAATGTGTAAGCATACAACCCATAAAGTAAACTGTATTCTTAGAGTAAAAGTTTGTGCTTGAGAAAACAGTCGTTTTTCTGCATTAGAAACAAAAGGCCACCCAGGGAATTACATTCCAGATTTAAAGAAATGAAAGGATACAAACCATTAAAGTGTAGCAGGTTATTGTTAATACTCGTAAAGCACCTTATATCACTGAGAAAATAAAGAACAGTGCCTTAAAAGACAGATTGAAAGGTAGACTGTAACGTAAAATGTTTGTGATTTGTTGTTTATCATTAAGGAAGGTGAAAGGTTTATGTGAGCAGTAGTAAACCTGCTTTTAGATACCATGCTGTTAGTACTTAACTGAAAACTTACCTACTTTACTTCATAACTGAGTAACTTAAACTAAAGGATGTTACACAAAGTTGAAAGTCTTCATATATTGAACTTCCCAACATATTTCTTATAGCTGTTAAAAATAGAGATTAAAATAGATTTAATTATATTTTCCTTTGTATTTCAAAAAGTATCCTAACACTGTTGTATCTCGAGGATTTTTACCAAGCTATCTTGAAAAACTTTCATGAGGCAAGAAATAATCAGTTGTTTTAGAATCATTTACTGTTTAAATGAGACAGTCATTTTAAGTTTTGAGACAGCAAGTGTGACCAGTGTAATTTCAGAAAATCTAAGGATTTTTGGTTGATCGGATAACTAGGTTTTTAATGGTTGCCTTGGATAAACAGATTATGCCTTCTCTTTTTCTTTCTTTTTCCTTTTTTCCCATCCTTCTTAGTTTCAGTTCTCATAGTATAGTAAGCATGCATGTATACTTTTATTTATTTTTCTTAGGAGCACTACGTTTTTTGGTTTTAGGGGGATACTTTTCCTTCCCTGCCTTTGACACATTGGATTAGTTCAGAGGCTTAAATTAGTTTAAAATGAGCTTTTGCTTTTTTAGGTCATTACATTTTTTTGTTTTAGTTTCTTTAGCCTATAGTGGCTGAGTTTAGCCCTTGGTTTTCAATATTTTATGGTAGGAATGACAGATTGCTTAGATCCATTTCATAAGCCAAAATTCCTTGCATTTAGGTAATTATATTAAAGGGTCTTAAAATGAAGATTTACTTGTTTCTTAGTTACTTGCTGGTATAGCTAAAGTTTGTTTTACTTGCACATTTGTACATACACCTAATGTTTTCAAGTGCCTTAATTGTTTAAACTCTCTGGCTTCAAAAGTTTTTGGGAAAAGGTAGGTTTACCTCAGATTTTTGTGTTTCATTAGTAGTAATATTCTAGGTACCTCACAAAAAGTTTTATTACGGTGCCATGGCTGTTAGTGCTTAGTGAGTGCTCTAAGATGCAAGGTACATTTAAAAGTGTGCAGAATTTCCATTCCTCCCAAGGTGGCAGAAATTGGCTACGACGGTATAATTGTCATTTACCTAGCTATGAAGACCTTGTCACACGTTGATGTCAGCACATAGCAGTGTTTGTGAAAATGTAGCTGATGAAGCCTCTCATCTTCCGTAATTCTGAGTACTTCTCTAACAACCAAATCATGTAATATGAAATTAGGTTTTACAAGAAGAGCTCTTAAACAGAACTCACAGCCTTTTCCCCTTCTTCCTTTAGCAGTTTAGTATCTGGAGCCATTAATAATTTTTGGGTTTTTTTAATCCAGAAGGTATTAAACCTTTCAGATTTTTCATCTGATTATTTCATGCAGATGTAATTCTATCAAAATAGCTTATTTTACCTTAAGATATTTGTTGTACAGGCAGACACTGCTGTGTTAAGAAATTTCTATTTTAGTTTATTAAAAACTGCAAAATCAATCTGTATCATGTACAAAACTGATTTAAAATAAATCTGCGTGTTTATTGAATTAATCTGTTGTTTTTTTATTAATTGAAGTGTGTCTTTTGCTTTTTGATTATGACATTTAATGCTAGTGAATTTACCTTATCACTGAGGATGAGTTGTCTACTCAATTTTATTGCTCCCCAAGACCAGCAGGGAGTAACCGAAGTATGTAATCATTAGTGGAGAACAGAGCCTTAGAAATGATAATTGGAGGGATGACTTTATATGCTTACGGGGGTGGTATGCAAATTCATTTTCCACAAATTAATGGAAATCATCCACTTAAGCTCTACCAAGTAACAAATTTACGAGACTGCCATTTGTTACAAATCTGAAATCTTGTTTGTAACCGCCTTTTTGTTCAGATTGCATGTAAAGTAAAATTAGGCTTCTGCTTAAAGTACTTTGTGTAAATATCTAGTAGCAAACCACATGGATAGTATATAAAATCTGGTACTTTTGGTCCATATTTTGGCCAAGATTATATTCTATATTAAATCCCAGAGTTTGGACTAAGAAGAGAATATAATGTCTTGATTATGATGTGTTATGCTGCTGTATTCTTTGTTTCTTGTGTTTGGGGTTCATTGAGTTACTTGAATCTATGGTTTTCATCAAATTTGGGAAATTTTCAGGCTTTATATCTTCAATTTTTTTTTTCTGTCCTCTTCCTTCTCTCTGTTACAGGCTCTACAGAGGCTACTAGAAGTTGATTCACAGCTCACCCATGCACTGTTGATGTTTTTTAAAAAATCTTTCTGTTTCATGTTAGATTATTACTGTCTTTGAGTTCACTAACGCTATGTCTAATCTTTTGTTAATGTCCAATGTGTTTTTTATCTTAGATATCTTTATTTCTAGAAGTTAATCCCAGTTATTTTTATGGTTTTATTTTGTCTTACATAGCCAGCCTTTTCTTTGGTTTTTGAGTATCTAGTGTAAATTTTTAACAGCCTATGGGCTAGTTCTAACATCTGGGTTACTCTCTGTTGATTTTTTTTTTTTGCTTATTGGTATATTTTCTAATTTTTTTCTTATTTTGGGTCATATTTTATTTATTTGCATGCTTTGTAATTTTTTATTGCATGCCAGAGAAATTTTAACTTGTTGGGTACTGTTCTGTGACTTGAAAGTTACTTGAAAGCAGTTTGATCCTTTCAGATCTTGCTTTTAAACTTGGGTAAGAGCAGCACAGCATTTGTTCTATGGCTTAATTATTGTCTGGTTCTGAGGCAAGACCTTTCTGAGTATCCAGTGCCTCCCTGGATTATGAAGCTTTCCAGTCTGGGCTAATTGGAGCAGGCTCTGTTCCTAGCTTTGTGTGGGCTGCAGGTGCTGTTTCCTGTAAACCTTTCCCCAGAGTTGGGTAGTTTTCCTCAGGTGCATGTGCTGACTGATACATTACTGGGGGAGGGGGACCTTCTGCAGATCCCTGGGATTTCTCTTTCTGTCACTCTTCCCCAGTCCTCTGCTCCTGGGAACTCCAGCTGCCTTCATCTCCCTTGAGTTCACTTCCATATTCTGAACTCAGGAAGTCCAGTAGGCTCTGCCCAGGTAGGCTCTCCCCTCCCTACATTGTGTCTGAGAAATCCAAGGCAGTAAATGGGGTCAGTTCTTTCCTGTCTTCAGGACTGAGACCAGTGTATTGAAACTGTCTCATTTATTCTGTCCAGTGTTTTAGTTATTGCAAACTTAACCCAGTCTCATTTAATTTTGGCCAGAAGAAAAAGTTCAAGTTGGAGATTTTACAGTCATAATTTGTAATTGGGTAACAAATACATGTACCTTTATAATTTTTTATTTTAAACTACAAGAGGTAGGTGTATGTCATCTGACCATCCCCAGGCCCTTCCCCTTGCTTGCCCTTCAGTTTTCAGAGGCAATTGCTGGAACTGGTTTGGTGTTAATTGCCCCCACTTAACTACTTGGAGATCTTTCCACAGTAGTTATGTTCATATACCAAATTCTTAAATTCTATATTGATATATGTAGTATGAATATCCTAAGTACCTACCTATTGAAGGATTATTTGCAACTTTTGGTTTTTAATAACAATTTTGCAAACAATTCTGTACTCGCCACCTTGTTTATTTATGACTATTTCTCTCGAGTAAACAGAAGTGCAAAGCTGTGTCATAGGGTTTCCACTGGGAAGACTTGAACAGACTGAGATTGCCTTCCATTTTTCCACCCACCATGTGTCAGTGTTTCCTCTGTCCTGAACTGCTTGATACTGACAAGTTAAATTTCAGTACTCTGGTGAGTAAAAGTGTTAACTTGGTGACTATCATTAATTTGTATTTCCTCTAAATTGTTTTTTTCTATTGTCTTAACAATTTGTAGGCTTTTCTCTTTTTTAATCTTAAAATATCCTGAATGCTAATCCATGGTCAATGAATTTTCTTTAATCAATATTTTCTTCAAGTCTTTGCTTACAGTGTATTAGCAAGAGAGTACAGTCAGGATACAGAAGCCACATGAAATGAACAGGAAGAGTGACATAAAAGTGTTAACTCTAAGATTGGAGTGATGGGGCATAGATCTGTAATTGCAGAAATAAACTGGAAGGCAGTAAAGAGAACTTGGGAGAGCACGGGCATAGCAAACACAAGAAGTGGCAGCAGCTCTGTTCTCCCTCAGGCTGGATTCCAGAAAGCAGTACAGAGAATACAACCTTGCCTCTGCACGAACCTGTGGTAGCCGCACATCCATCTGAGACGGTGCCAGGGAAGGTTATCCACAGAAAGGGTACACCAGCGCAACCTGTGAAGTTATCCAAGGAGGCCAGGGTCTACCACGCACAGGAGTTCCACACCAGTGACGCCCCACTGCTAAGCTACATGCACTGCTCAAGCAGGGTGCTGTGGTAATTTGCCCAGAACCAGAAAAATAAATCCCTCCAATACCTTCTGCTGACAAAACAGGCCACCTAGCATAGAAATATTCATATGTTCCAGCTCCATTTTCACTATAATAATGGGGGGAGCAGGTGGCAACTGGTGGATTCAAAGCTCAAAACCCTGGTTTCTGTAAATTGATGAACTTTCACTACTTATTCAATAATTCTTTTGCTCTTGGTCAGAACTGCAGCTGGTCAGGGTTCCTTACCTGGTGGAGTGACCCAAATATCTATTACCAAAGGGCCTAAGTCCTCAAATTGTCTACCTGTTTTGGTTGATGTTTCTCGTTAACCTTTACTCTTGGGTATGGAAGACCTTGAGCACCCAGAGGATCCCATGTTTCCGACACAGTCCTTCCTCCACTGTGTGTCAGTAACCGTCTCAGCCTTGGCGGTCAGGATTGACATTCCAGCAGGTAGAGGAACACTTTTCGCTGCCTGTTGGTTTCATGGCTGATATCAGAATCAAGACGGCCAACCTTGCCTTGCCTTGGCAGCCTTGCCTTGGCAGCCTTGCCTTGGATCTCGCATCGGTAGACCCGTGGCTGTGCTCCTGGTTGAAGCATCCCTTAGGAACTAAGACCTCTAAACCAGCACTGCTTGAGGTTGCTGGGATGAGAAATATAGTCATGCTTTGAACCAACATATAAATGTTGGTTCAGTCCTATCTATAAGTCAGGCTTGGCTCTCCTTTTTTGGCCACCTAATTGTTAGAAACACCCCAGTCCAGGGAGAGGAGGCAGCAGGAGTTGGTGTTAAAAGACTGGGAGCCATGCATTCAGTGGAAGCTACTTGCACCTTTCAGACCTGCCCAGTGAGCTAAGTTGATTGTATACCATTTCCATTGGTGATAGATTGCTGCTCTGCGTGCTCCAGTTTATGGCTAGGTGGGTCCTACAACACCTGCATCATGATGGGAAGCTCAGGCTACACAATCACCTACTATCCCGTGGCAAGGCGTTCAGTCTCTACCAAGGCACAAAAGGAGGATATTTAGCATCAGAAGAAGGCATTAAATTTGCTCAAAATCTTAGGAGTCTGCCTGTGATTCTCCTGGTGATTGGCAGGTGCTGTGCAGTGTTCTGTATGCTGGGGCATTTTTAGGATTTTTGGCTCTGCTGGATCATAGGAACTACATGGCAAAGCAGCTCATATTAAAAACTCAAAATCACAACGGAGCCTTCTCTTACTCTGGTCCCCACTCAACTGATAATCATATGGATGGCTGTCTGGGGCAGGGGGTGAGGTAGCACACTAGAACATGGTATATGTTGCCTTCAAAATCCGAAAAGTCCTGTTAAGCATCATGCTTTTTTTTTCATGGTACATAGTGTGAGATGTAGGGTTTACCTTTCACCCTCTAGATCTTACATGTCTTATTACTAAAGCACCTAAGTACTTACTACTTTCTGCTCATGATAGCCAATCAGCATGTTATTGATGTAGTAGGCCAATATGATGTTTTATGGAATATCATGCTCTCTATGAATTAACGCAGGGAGCAGGAGAACTGACAAAGCCTTGAGGCAAGAATTTGAAGGTACCCTGTGACTTTGTCAGGTAAAAGCAAACTACAGTGGTCCTTGCAATGTGATACAAGGAGCAAAAGGCATATTTGCATAACAAGTGCCAGAGTCAGACTCACTGGCCCCAGTATAGATGCTGCATCTGGGAGAACAGCTACAGTTGGAATCATTGCCTGGTTGAGGTGTGGACTGGTAGCCCCCAGTCATTTTCCAAGCCATCTATTTTCTGCACAGGGCAAAGTGATGAGTCAGGAGGTGATGGGATAGATCCCACCACCCTGCTTCTTCCAAGTCATTGTCTGGCGTTAATCCCTGCAGCTTCTCCAGGGATGCGGTGTTGCTTCTGGTTTACTGGACAGAAGGGAAATTCCAGGGGCTTCCGATAATCCCTGGAAAGATGAGCCATAACTCAAGGGTCAGAGAACCAGTACAGGAATCCTTTCAGTTGCTAATTATGTTTATTTGCATTATACCTTCAGGAACTGAGGAAATAACCACGTGGTGGGGTCTGTGGATCAACTGGGTCCACTGTATTTCAGACCTGAGCTGAGACTCTGCCGTGCTGTGTGCCTTCATCTTGACTGGTGGGTGAGCCACACTGGTGTTTGGGATCCCCAGGGAGCAGAATTGGTTAAGAGGTAGTGCCTAGTACTCACCAGATGGTCTGGGTATTTTTTTCTTTGATGAAAAATCACTCTATCAAATGATTACAGATCTTTAGGGAAAAGTTTGGAGGGAGGTTTATGGTCTGCACCTGCAGCAGGGATGTGGCATCCTCCCTCCCGGGGCCCCAGCCTCTCCTGCAGGCAAGGGGCTGTGGTCTGTGAACTGACTTAGGTCTGGAGTCCGGGTGTGAGGCTGTGACTTTCCACTGTGCTGGCTCACGTCAGGTTTTGGCTCCCAGAATTTTTCCTTTTACATACATCAAACAATAGTTTTGTTGGCTACCCATGTATGTTTACTTACTCATGGGGACACGTCAACCACCACCAAAGACCTCTGTGTGCCAAATCTCTACCTGATGACCGATAGGTCCCTGCCGACCTTTATAACAGAGGCACATACCTAGTCTTGAGCAGTTGGCTTCTTCCGCTTCGGGATGGCTTCATCACCATGGAAGTGAGAGAGTCCATCTCAGCAGTGAGAAATAAGACTGTGACTTCAGCTGTCACTGTAATGTAGCAGTTTTCACAATGAAAATCTGTTTTTTATTTTTAGCAGCATTATCCTTGGGACTATAGGAAATAGATTTTAAAAAGGCTTTTTGTGGCAACTCACTGGTTCTTGGACCATGATATAAGCTGAGAATTAATGGACCTGACCTTGTCATTTTCTTTGGTAAGCGCTGAGGTGTATCCAAAAAAAAAACCTATATTCCACCCCAAGCTTTATGGTCATCATTACACCCATAAGAGTCAATGTGGTAGAAATTTGGGCACCCGAGGCTCATGCTTCAGCAGGTGCTCTGTCACAGTCAACCACAGGTGATAGCTTGGTTCATTGTCATGCCACAGGCATGTTACTAGCATGTCATTTTCTGTTGCAAGGAGCTCAGTGCTGTGTGCAGGTCCAAGGCTGCAACCAAACACATCCCCAAATCCCATCTTTGTGTGTCTGTCCTCTAGGACCAGCCCACTACTGGTATCAGTTTTCTATTGGTCATGGGCCAGTTAGGAGGCAGAAACCACATAGTAATCAAACAGGGAAAGTTTAATATAGAGAATTATTAATGAGTCTTGACCAGCGGGGCTCAATGGGTTGGGTGTCATCCTGCAAAACGAAGGGTCGCCAGTTTGATTCCTGGTCAGGGCACATGCCTGAGTTGTGGGCCCGGTTGTGGGCCAGGTCCTCAGTTGGGGGCGTGGCGAAGGCAACCAATGGATATTTCACACATCAGTGTTTCTCTCCTTCCCTCCCTTCCCCTCTCTCTAAAAATACATAAAATCTTTAAAATAAAAAAGAATTATCAATGGTAAGAGATTGAAGTAATGGGAGGGTTGGCTGGTACGCAATAAAGAGTTCAAAAGAATACAGGGACAACAGATATAGAGAATATCTGGTATTCCAGGGCTGACAGCTAGACCTCGTTGGAGAGGGTGTGTCCCTTAAGGCTCACTGGATGGCAGAGAAGTTCACGGAGGCTGTGCAACGTCCGAAGTGGTGCTGGCAGGAAGGCCCCTCACAGGAGGCGCCAAGCCAGCGACTGTCCACTATGAAGCTGCAGGCACCGCAGGAACCTGCCCGCAGGAGCCCCCTGACCTGGGGCAGAAAGCCTTCTTCCTCCCCCAGGGCGCTTCCAGCACCATCTGCTGACAAAGCTTAACATCTTGCCAGTTGGCAAAGAAGAAATATTTACAGGCTCCAGATTCATTATTTCACAGCAGACATTTAAGGATGAACTTGGAGCTGAGAGGTTATTCATTGATAACTGGTTCCACACCTTGTCCTGTTGGATTTTCACTTTGTTTTGTCAACAGAATTCCTCCTGGCTTTCAGTCTGTGTGTATGTCTGTGTGCATACGTGTGTGCATGTAGACCTTCATGCAAAGTTTGTTGTATGTAGTGTAAGAGGACGATTTAATCTACCTCAAAGAGACTCAGACTTCTCCCTAATTTGAAAAGCTACATAAATCATATGTAAACTTAGGCTTGCAAATGTTTCTCTGGTCTATTCCGTTCCATTCATCTGGTTATTACTTTACCCAACATAGATTTTCTTGTCTGAACAGAGACTTGGATTAGGATGTTCTGAAAGTCCGAAGAGAGTTTTGGCGTTTGTAGGAAGAATAAAAAGCCTGTTAAGAGAGGATGATGTTCTTAAGTGAAACAAATAGAAATGAGTGTGTTGAAGTTTATTTGGATTAATCTCAGTTTTAGTTTTCCACGGGTTAGTAAATACTGCTCAGTAGCATTGCCCTTTCTCCTGGCTATTTCATGTAAGCAGGATTTCTAGAACCCAGGTTGAGAGGCTGCTGGTTGACCACAGCAGGCCTGGGTGGCAGAAATGCAAATCAACTGTTCTGTTTTAAAACCCGGGGCCAGCTCCTCCTTCACACGGGACACTTGGGGTATAATCACGTCAGTCCCCCCACACTATCTTCGCAGTACTGATAGTGAATATTAGATAAAGGGTTTAATGGAGTTTAGAACCATTTCTATTTATTTAAATGAGTATAGAAATAAAAGTTGGGAAAGGATTTGTGATCACCAGTCAGGTCTAAATGGGGTTCTGGATGGAGCTGTGTGAACTTGCAAAGCTGATGGTTGGACGTCTTCTGCCACACTGGGCAGGAAAAGATCGTTGATCCCTTTTCTGTGGTTAGTAGGTGCCTGCAATGCAACAATGCAAGTATTCAGCAGATATTTGAGCCTTTAAATAAAATAGTGAATAATTCTTGTTACAGCACCATTAAAAGTCACTTTTACTCAGGAGACCAAGATCACTGTTCAATCTGGATTAGGCCACTTGGTGGGCCTTCTTGTACGTATTTTGCCACGTGTCATAAAGAGAACTGGTGGAGAATCCGTCAGTGGAAAGCCATTTCCTGCTAAAGAGGTAAAGATACCCTATGTTTGGAATAATCTAAAAATTCCTTAATATTTTACCATTTGTATTAGTGCAGTGCTATAGAAAATCATTGATGTCTTACATTCCAGCCACATATAAATCCCTTCAGTCTGTCTCCATCTGGCCTGTCTCATAAGCCTTGCTTAAGAAGTCAGACCTGAGATGGATTTGAAGAGGTTCCAACTAGTTTGTTGCCTTTCCTAGACCTTCCTTTTTTTATGTGGCATCTCTATATTGTACCCAAGCCAGGGGCCCACAGGGCACTTTCTTACTTATGAGGATTTATGTATCTAGTAGGGAATGTCCCACAGTCAGCTTTCATGTCACCCTTCTGAACCTCTTCCATATGGTGGGTCTCCACCAGTGCATGTCGCTACTTTGCAACCTTCTCAGCGCTGTGCTGGGACCCCCCATGGCAGACACATTCGCTTTGGGCAGAGAAAAGGGGATGGAGTAAATCTCGAAAGCCCTTGTGGTCCCATCCACACCAACCGAACACTGCTTCCTTTGGGAGATGGTTTTCAGAAACAGACACGTACTCCAGTTCTGCATGTTAGTCCAAGATGGCTCCACAGAGACTGGTGAGTCAAGCAAGCGGTGGGCATCCGCAGCGTGGCCCCACGTGGTCAAGGGTCTCAGCCGGTCTGTGCCCAGCCTGTTCTTCCCTCTCTGTGTGTCATCTCTGAACCGCGTACTCGGAAACGCCACAGCAAACTTCCGGTCCAGTCACTAGACATCAGCTGCAGAAAGACACCTTTGAAAAGGGCCTTAGAATGGTCCGTTTTCTCCAAAAGAATGATGCAATGTTTTCCTCTTAATTTTTTTCATAGTAAGAGAAAAGGAATTCTTTTTTTATTATCTTTTATTTTTCAATTATAGTTGACATTCAACATTACATTAGTTTTAGGCGTATATTACAGTGGTCAGACATTATATCATTTCCAAAGTGATCACCCCAATAAATCAAGTGCCCGCCTGGCACCACACATAGTTATTACAATATGACTGACTGTACTTCCTGTGCTGGACTTCACATCCTTGGGACTATTCTATCATTGCCAACCTGTACTTTGTAATCCCCCTCACCTTTTTAACTCAGTCCCCTAACCTCCTCCCACCCAGCAGCCGTTAGCTTATTCTCTGTATGAGTTTGTTTTGATTGTTCATTTATTTTATTCTTTAGACCCCACATATAAGTGAAATCACATGCCATTTGTCTTTCTCTGACTTATTTCACTTAGCATAACACAAGAAGAGGAATTCTTAAATGTGTTGATCAGGATCTAACTCTCTGCGGGGATCCTGAAAGACTGGAGCAAAGAGTATAATGCATATTAAAATAGTACCGAGTAGGCGGAGGAAGAGGATATAAATATTTCACACAAACTAAAAGCTGAAATATTTTTAAAACGTCTTCAGAGATGTGCTATGCCTCAAGCTAATCTGCATTCCAAGAAGTTCTTTGGAGGGCAGATATCTGGAACTCTGCTCTCCCAGGGAACTCGGATAATGAATCTGACGCTGCTAGTTGATTGTAGATGAGTGAAAAAAAAGAGAAGAAATTCAGAGACAGAACATAACAAGGTGTTGTACTGACTTCTGCACTTATTGAACTGTAATGGAGTAAGTGCCCTTGGGCTTGTTTCAATATCAGAACTTTATTATTGAGGCAAGATGGCAGAGTGGGAAGCCCTGGACCCTCTTTCCCTCTACAAATACTGATTCGGCAGCAATTCACGGACAAAGTCCTTTTGTGAGAAATCCTGAATTTTATTATCCAGCCCCAAGCACCTAGATAAGATTCTGATACACAATTTTTAATGTAAGTTTGAAGCAACCCTAGAACTATAATTTCTTATCTTGAATATATATAATATATTCAAATTTATCCTCACAGTTTTTGGCCTTTGAAGTCTCCTTGCTATTTTATTGCCCCTTAGATTAGTCTTTGAAAGGTGTTGCTGGGAGTATCTGGATGATGTGGAAGCAGAATTTAGGGTGTACAGAGCCCGGGATATGAGGCCTACAATGTTAAAAATATTAAATGATATCTCTTGTTGCAATATACATGACTAGATTTAATTCATAAAATTTTAAAGCTTAAAATAGGCATGTAATCCAGCTCCCTTAAATTTGAGTCAAACATGTCAAAACCTGGATAGAGGCTTTTGTCTAAGGGTCATGACCAAGTGAAAGAGAAGGTGATGAGGGGTGACTTGGACTCTTGTGGGTAGAAGCGAACAGACTGAGAGATACTCACATTAACAGGACTTAGTCATTAATTTGATGTGCAATGTGAGGCAGAAGAGCGCCCAGATTTCTGGCTCAGGCAACTGGAGAGACGCTCATTTTATTTTACAGTGGATGTTGTGGCCCTGGCACGTACACACTCAGTAACTAATTGCTGGTTACAAGATTAGAAGGATAGATGTGGGCAAAATGGGTAGATGTGCAGATGGGAAGCAGATAAAGATGACTAGTTCAAGGTCTCCGAGAAGGCGGAGCACGTGGAATCGTGCACCAGGACCGGCCGGGGCAGGAAAGGGGCACTATTTCCACTCTAACAGGAGGAAGGAGAAGCAGCCATACCGCTGTAGGTAGGCTGCAGACAACAAGTAGAAGGAGTTTTCACCGGATGGTTTTTTACTCCTCTGTGACATGGGGGAGAAGGACAGTGTCTGAAGGCCCTGGGAGACCACGAATGGTTAAAATGGTTGCTGTGAAGAGGAGCAAGTGAGCTGAGCCTAAGCCCACCAGGCATCTTAGTCTCTGTCTTAAGTGATTTGTTTGAAACGGGGCACATAGTATAGCCAGAGCCCGATTCTTGTTGTCGCATTGCCACAGCCCACTCCTGCCGCCGGAGCTTGAACAGAGGATGGAAGGTGGCGAGGTGGCGGCTGGGGGCTCCACTCCCTTTGTGCTCCCGGCTTTCTCAGAGCCCAGGGGTGGAGCAAGAAACCAGCCCTCGTGAAGCAGTTCAAACCCGCATTGAACCAACCAAAGCCAGTCCACTTCTGAACATCTCACCGTTTTGTGAGCCAAATGATTTCACTTTTCTCCTGAAGCGTTTTGAGAATAACTACTCTAGAACAAATGATAGTTTCTCAGGAACTGCAAGATCCTAGGGGAATCCATGTTAATGCCAGCTAAGGAGAGCTCGCCCCCTGCCCTATGCCTGGACTTCTGATGCTTCTGCTGTGGGAGCAGGGAGGCCGCTGCGACCAGCCCTGCAGGAAGGGGTGTGCGGCCTCGCTCTTCGCTCTTCCCGCTGAGTTTACCCTGTAATGCCAAGCCAACAGCGTAGCTGATAATCTGCCTGTCCCCTCAGGGTGCTGGCTACTAAATAGACGGATATGACCCAGTCCCTCCCCTCCAATGAATGCTCAGCAAACCCTCCTCCTGTCATTGCAGAGAGGGACAGGTAGGGGGCTGAGCATGGGGAGTGACTTTTACCTCCACTTCCTGGGATAGAGGCTTGCTTCTCTTTCACTCGCCCACACCCCCAGTCCTGGGGATTAGGCCTCCCCCATCCCTTCTGCTCTGTGGTTCTCATTGGTAATTGTGCAGGTGTTGAAGGACATGAGTGGCAGTTACATGCACACAGTAACCCCGAAAGGGATTAGAAAGATGTTTGGCTGGGCTGGAGGCAGAGGGGAAGGGGAGAGACAGAAAAATCCCAGGGTGTGTGGAAAGGCCTGTGCTATACTCAGTCTATGGCCAAAATACAGACCTTGGGTGTTCTTGATGTTCTCCCTCTTTGGAGTAGGTGGCTGGGCCAGGCAGCAGGCAGCAGGCAGCCACAGGGACGAGGGACCCTGCGCCTTCAGGACAAGCCCAGCCCTGCTGCTCTGGGTAAACCCAATGTAACGATCTGTGTCATCTGGACCTTTGAAACTGATCTTTCTGTTTCTGAGAGGCTGTGTTTGCTTGCATCATTCGCACTGGTAAGTAGCCAAAAAGAAACATAAAGTACAACACAGGTAGGAGAGTGTAGTAACCAGCATTTGCACACTTAGTGCTACTATACTGTCTATATTGTGTGCCACACTTACAGTATTTCATTTAATACTCAGAATACACCTTTAAGGTAGCTATTCCCACTGTATGGAGAGGCTAATTAACTTGTCTAAGGTCACATAGCTAGAAGTGTTGGGACCAGGATTTGAACCTTGGCTGCCCTCTCCAAAGCCCCCACACTCAATCACAAGGCCACACTGCAGAACAGGAAAGAAGAGGCTTGACTGATCTCAACAATAAGCTAATTGTGGTTGCCAGTGTTTGATGATATATATTTTTTAAGATTTTATTTATTTATCTTTAGAGAGAGGGGAAGGGAGGGAGAAAGTGAAGGAGAGAAGTATCTATGTGTGGTTGCCTCTCATGTGGCCCCCACTGGGGACCTGGCCCACAATCTAGGCACGTGCCCTGACTGGGAATCGAACCAGCCACTCTGGTTCGCAGCCCGTGCTCAATCCACTGAGCTATACCAGCCAGGGCTGTTTGGTGATATTTTCGATAGTCAAAGCTGGAAGAGAACCTGGAATTTATTTAGTCCTCATCTTACAGGAGAGGATGCTAGTGGAGAGATGTTGTGGGGTCTGGTCTTGGCTCCACACTGCTTGTGGGCTGCACAGCCCAGAGGGTTGCACCATTTCCATAAAGCTCCTCAAGCCCTCAGCATCCAAGAATCATAATGGACTGTTTGAATAACATCTGAGAAACATGATCATTATTATCCCAAGGCACTGAGATGGTTCAAAATCCAATGAAGTACCCAATGCTCTTTAAGTGGTATATGACATACTCCTGGGACCAGTTTTTATGACTGAGACCATTCAGTATAGGCTGGCAGGAGTCAAGGGAGAACTAAAGTAGAAAGTTCTGTCTGCAAATCAGAATTAAGCTTTATTCATTCACATGTCATTCATTTATTCAACAAACATCATGGCACACCGACTCAACTCCTGGGATGTGATGGCTAGTCCCTGGGTCCCCACTTCGATTCAGACCATGGGGCCCCGGGAGCTTGTTCTAGCCAGAGCAGGGCGTCTGCTTACCTCCGGGGGAGCTCGTCTGGACAGAGCTCCCGGCGTCAGTAAGCTGACTCAGTAGCTCTTCCACACGCTGGAACGTGTCCAGCTTCACTCTGTGCTCCTGGGCAAGCCAGCTTCTCACCTGAGGAAAAGTGCTTGGGAAGCAGAGATGGCTTTTGGTAGTGCAGTCGTTCATTCCCAGGGTTCTTAGGGAGAGTGTGGGTCCAGGAATACTAGTCTTCACAAAGTCCTGGTCAGGCTAAACTCAGCCTTCTGAGAACCAAGAGCTCCAGAAGGCCAAGAACCTAACCAAATAGGAGGAGAGACAGCCCTTGGAACTCTTTATTACCTTATAAAAGCCAGGTGTTTAATCACAAAAGTCCTGTCTTTTGTTTATTTGACCAGAGGGAGAGGGCAGGGCCCAGTTCACCAAGGACTGTGCAGGCCAAGCCGGGCACCTACCCCAAACACCTGTGGCGCAGGCACCCCTGGGCAGTTTCTAACAGAGGAAAGGCTTGATCTCCTCCCAGATCTGCACGCTCAGCCCAGTTCATCAGCTTCAGGAGAAGCCTCGGGGCCCCATCTAAGGCCCACACGTGGAGGAAATTTCTGTGTTTACTCCTGCGGCTCTTCCCACACAGCTGACTCCCAGTCCCCGCCCAGAGAGTCACTGGGTCCATAGTGTACTTCATCAGCAGAGATCATGGGTATTTTTTTCCTTTTGAAATGTATTTTAATTATCACCTAATTTTTCAGTTTATAAAAAAGTAATAATAGTGTAGTGGGTTGAATAGTGGCTCCCCCCAAATTTATGTTCACCTAGAACCTAAAAATGGGACCTTATTTGGAAAGAGTCTTTGCAGATGTAATTAAGTTAAAATTATGCTGATAAGGGTGGGTCCTAAATTCAATGTCCTTATAAGAAGAGAAAAGGGTACATCCGCACAGAGGGACATAAGGAGGAAGCCCATGTGACCAGGGAGGCAGAGGTCAGAGCGAGGTGGCTGCAAGGCAAGGAACAGGACTGCAGCCGCCGCCCGCAGCTGGGAGAGGGGCATGAGCAGATGCTTCCCCCAAGCCTTCTGAAGGAGCCAACACCTTGGTTTCAGACTTCTGACTTCCTAAACACTGGGAGAACAAATTTCTGTTGTTTTAAGCCACCCACTTCGTGGTAATTTGTTACAGCGGCCCGAGGAAACTAATACACTTGCTAATCTCAAAAATTCAGCTGCATGTGTTTTAAATCCCACTCCTTTTTGTAAAGACCTAACCAGAAGGCCCCTGGACTCTGAGCTGTGACCACAGGCTTGTCTTACAAATATAAGAGGGGAAACGATCAGATCCTCAGAGTCAGGAAAACTTTCTTGTATAATTAGCCGTAAGGTCCCACTCTATTCTATGGGGACTTGTGCGGGATCCTCATCCCTGATGGGTGGGAGACAAGGGAAGCATATCAAGACTCCCTCAGCCAGGCAGGGGCTAAAGTTGTCCTCCTCCATATTCCCAACAGAAAGTCAAACAGCCAATATTTATAGAGAGCTGTGTGTCGGTCACTGTTCTAAGTGCTTCATTTGAATTACCTAATTCAACCCACCCCCAGGTCCCGTGAGGTGAGTTCATAATTCTCCATTGCTCCACGAGGAAACTAGAACTCGGAGAAGCCACAGACCTTACCCAAAGTCCCACAGTCAGGGGACTGTGGGCGAATCGGTCTCCAAATGACTTCCCTGGAAGCAGGAGGTAGGCAAGGACAGGCCAGCTCTCCAAGATTGAAGGGTCAAGGATGGAGAGGGATTAAAGAACCCGCTGCTGGCCAGGGGCTCTTGCCGGCTGAGGGTGGATGGCTGCAGGGCTGGGTGAGCCAGGGGCACCTGAACTGCCTGTGGAGCTGGAGGGGTAGTTCAGAAAGAGCCAATGACTGTTTGTACACACAAATGCTAAAACATGTGTTTATTGAGAGAAGCCTCAAAATATGTGTTTTGACAATTTTTAGAATCCCTGCCATTAAACAGAAATTAATTATTAACTGGAAGACTTTGAGAAACTACTTTATGAACAGTATATTTTTGTGGTGGCTTTTAGAAAAGCATAATTTGAAGGATACGTGTACATATGTGGCACCCAACTTTTCTTATGGATTCAGTCATATTTTTAGTTTACGTTTCGTGAAATTCTAGTTTTCTTTAAAAGCTACTCATTTTCTTTCCATTTCTACAACAATATTTTCTCAAGTATTGCCTTAATTCAAATTTTGCTCTTTGTTATTTATTTTTGTAGAACCTTCCTTACTGATCTTCTCTTTGAGCACTTGCAACACTTGTCCAATAATTTATTTATTTTTTTATCCTCACCCAAGGACATTTTTTTCCCCATTACTTTTAGAGAGATAGGAAGGGAAAGACAGAAACATCGATGTGAGAGAAACACCCATTGGTTGCCTCCTGTACACACCCAGACTGTAACCGGAAAAGACACTGGCGTTCGGGCTGCCTGTCACTACCAAATCCAATAAGCAATGACAGGGATTGAATTTTTTATGGACGCTTTATTCAGATGGCCAGCGATCCAAGAAGATGGCGGGTTCATACCCTAACAAACCATCTTCCCTTCTCTTTCCTGGCCAGGTCTTTTATAAGGGGGTGGGGGAGGACAAACAAGCTGAGGTGAGGGCTTTGAAATCCAGGGAGGATTAGGTGAGGGAAGCTGCAGCGTTCCTGTTCTCAGCAGTTAGCTGTTCCCAAGGGGGCTGCGGTGGGGGGGGGGGGGTCACACAAAAGGCCCCTATGCCTCCAACAGGTCCCCAGGTGGTAATCTCTAGCCAGTGCCCCAGGAGGTCGGCTGCTTTTCTCAGGAGCCAGGATGGGCCTTATCTGTACTTTCTGAAACAAAAACTTAACATACACATTACTTGCTAGACTTATAACTTTTTACCTTAAGCTAAAATTTTCCAGGTCTTGAGTCCCCTATCAGGACCAGGGACCAAACCCACGACCTAGGTATGTGCCCTGACCGGAACTGAGCCAGCAGCCTTTCGGTTAAGGGATGACACTCCAGTCAACTAAGCCCTGCCAGCCAGGGCTTATTTGATCATTCAACTTTCCAATTTCTCTTTTCTAATATCTCCGATGAATTAGCCAACTCATTTAGTCAATGAATACATGTGAAGTGCCTGCTCTGAAAGAGGCTGCGTCTTTTTCCTTTTGTATTGAATTACATTCTGCGGTCTCCTTTGTTGGAACTTGCATTAATCCACATCTACATCATATTATATGATTTCCTTTTTTTCCTTTTTTTGCTATGGGGTACATGTAACAAAAAAGTATTGTGCCTGGGAATCACTATGGCCTCCCTTTCTGTCTCTCCAGTTCCAGAGACGCCATGAATAAAGTCTTATACTAACTTCCATAATACTTGTTCTTTTTTCAGGTTACTTGTCAGAACTTTCTAAAGGATTCCTGGTTTAAAGATTAAAGCCAGGTGAAAAACATTTTTCTAGTTGGGTACAAGGATGCTGAGATACTGGGCCTTGAGCTAGCCAAGCCTTTGTTCTTACCATTAGCCGCTGAACCATCAGCCAGTGTGGATATAAATATTCCCATTTTCCTGGTGGGCTTGGAAGGGACAGAGGTGAAGAGACACTGCCATGGGGGACATGCGGGGCATGGGAAAGACGGGAAGAATGAAAGGGTTCTGGCAGTCGCACCCTGTTGCTTTCCAGCTGCTGCTCCCTCTCACTGGAGTCACCTGTCGGGGCTCTCTCTGGAGTTTCTTCCTCTGGAACCGGCCCAGGGAGCTGCAGCTGCTGTTCTTTTTGCTCCACGTCTTCCAAGAGCTTCTCTATGCTGGAGGTTTTCAGTAAATCCGGCTGCTGCTGGTGGGCAGATTCCTGGGTCACTTTGTGCTCTGATTCTTTCAGCAATTGAGCCTATGGCAGGAAAAGCCAAAGGAAAGGAGGAAGGCACAGTCTTCTCAGCACAAGGCAGGGAACTAAAGGTTGGGGGACCTCCTTCAGGGCCCAGGGCCAGAACTGTGTGGAGTATTCCTCAGTTCAGGGTAATACAGTCCAGCTAGCAGCAAGACAACCAGGATGTAGGCCAGCCTGGCCTTCACTGTGAGCCCCAAGGCAACAGTCGGGGGAGAAGGAAACGAAATCAATACTCAGCAATCACAGCCAGACAAGTGATAAAGTGATAATGCCACTATCCAGTGATACCAGGCCAGATAATTTGGTCTTGTAATACCAAAATTTGATGATAATGTGTATGTTGCTTACCTTATTAACCAGAGCCTCATCGATCTCAAACTGCATCTGCACTGTCACTGGGCACTTGTCATGAGCGAGCAGGGAGGGGTTTACCTGGGGAGGGGGCTGATCCAAGCTGCATGATAAGAGGCGAAGGGAGGGTCTACTCTTGCCTCTGCTTTGACTTCCAAACTAGCTGTGGGAAAGCCAGACTCCAGATGGTTAAAGAAGGAAAACAGTAGTAATAATTTAGTTCTGTTCTGAAATGTTTCTAATCAGCACCATAAGTTCCATATGCTCAACCCTTAGTTACAATATGACTAATAACAATGAGTACAGCAGGTCTTTGAATGGTATTGTATTGTTCAACATTGTTTCATTATAATGTTGATGAGATGCTGTATAGATACTTAACTGTTGTTTATATCAATTAGCGTGTGGTAAAATTGGTTTTGTTATTCATCCTTTAGCTTAAAGTCACAGAACCTATCAATGACCTTGAGGACTTACTATACTTGTATAGAGACTTTACAGTTTATGTAATTATACACCATAATCACCTGGTGCACAATGATGGAGAAATTAGGATCCAAAAAGAACAAATCATATTTCGTATTTTAAATATGCCCTGCTTTCCCGGGCTATCGTTTAAACTCAGCCATTCTCTCTCAACTGAGGGTCTCTCTGCTTCTTTCATGCTCAGAGGACTGGCACGGTAATTAAGAGCTTAGATTTGGAAACACTTTTATTTTGGTGCCAGCCTCTACTGAGCAGCAGTAACTTCTGAAATGAAAACTTAGTGTGTGTCATCAGGAAAGGACCCGGGACCGTCTGCTTGGGGCATAATGCTGACAGCTGGGCCGCACTCCCCGGGCAGAGGGTGCTGTCGAGGGAAAGTGTGCTCTGCAGAGGAAAGGACTGTATCCAAGGCAGAGACCCAGGGCCCAAAGTGCCTTTAGGGTGAAAAGATCCTGAGAGAGACACACACAGACATGAATAATCTTAAATAATCTGAAGTATGAGTAACGTGTTACCATTTTAGCTTAATAGGAATAAGAACAAAAGCTTTTTGGCCACTGCCCTTGGATTCTGGGCTGGAAAGGAGGGTGAAGGGAAGCCAAGGTCTGGGTCACCTGCTTATTTCTCACTGCAGTGCTCTGGTGACCACGCCAGCCAGTGCCCACTGCCCCAGCCAGTGCCCACTGCTTCTAGTCGCCACATTCACCTCTGCAGGGTGTGCTCAGAGACAGGGAGGAAGCGCTTCTGGGCCCAGATACCTTGCTTTCCTGCTGCTCACACCTCCTCAGGTTTTCGGCCTGGGACCCCGGGGAAGGGCCTGCCTCAGGGCCACTAACTGCAGATGAAACAAAACCTCTTCTTGTTCTGCCATTAGCTTGATGCTAAAACACTTTTCTTTTTACTTTGTGTAGCTTCCTGCGAACATTCCTAACAAATAAGAGAGGAAATAGGTGTCCTTTACATATTTTCAGCTTCACGAGCCATCTCTAAACCACCTCACCATCCACTGTTCTTCAAAACTTGTGGTTGCCGGGGTTCCTGCTGGTCACTGCCCCCGCCACTTCCCTTGAGAGCAGTGTGACTGAGCAAAGACTTTCTGAAACAGTAAGTAAAAGTGTCCAAACCACTACTAATATGTGCCTTGGTTTCAGTTTATCTTGGAGTGGATTTTCCAAGTATTACGTTGTTACTTCATTTTACTCAAATAAGCATCTTTGAAACTCAAAGATCCGAAGCATTTTTGAAGAAGCTGTCTCAAGCCCTCAGTAGTCTCTCCTCCATATTTACCCTTTCCTCATAGTAAACTCTCTAATTTGTTTTCCCAAAATTTGCTTCTGGCTCTTTCCTATTTCTCTCTAGCCTCTGACATTGCCCTTTCCCTGGAAGAATGCTCTCCTGTGAGATCCTTTAAGATGGCCAGAGCTGCTGCAGCCAAGCCCCCCACCCCCTCCGCCCCAGCCCAGCCCAGCCCCAGGGCCCGCCTCCCACCCCACTGCTCACCTTCTCACCATGCTCAGCCAGCCAGAAGTGGCCCAGGCTCAGCACTTGGCTCACCAGGGCGGTCAGGCTGCTGTTCTGCTCCAAGTCCCACAGCTGCTCCTGCTAAGAAGGCTCACTTTCAGAAAAGTCTGCCCCCAACACTTTTCTTGGAAGGGCATGAACCCTAACATCAGAAACACGCCTTGCAGAAGATGACACAATTGTGCAGTGAGCCCCAGTGCCCTTTGAAGATGCCTGATGTGTTGCTGTCTCAGGCAGACCGGACTGGAATGCTAAGGGAGCGAAGGGGGCAGAGGCTGGGAGGAAGAGCTGTTGTCCCATGGCTGAACGAAATCACATACTTTGGCTACACTTTCTTTTGTTCCTTCATCGGGTCTGGCAGAGCCCCATATTTTCTTTAGGTCCTTCACATGCTCAGTCCATTCTGTCCTCACTTTGCTGATGAGCTCATACACCTTCTGGATCAAATTAAGCTGATTCTCATTCAGCTTCTGCAGATCGCAGACTCAAGCTCCAGATCGCAGACTCAAGCTCAGGAAGGGCAGCTGAGGAAGTCATTTTGCCTTCTAAAATGCAACTTTTATAAATGATTTCACATGAAAAAAATCACCCACCCAGCCCTTGCTCGTGTTGCTCAGTGGGCTGCGCGCCTGCCTGAAAACCAGGGTGTCGCTGGTTCCATTCCCAGGCAGGATACTTGCCTGGGCGGCGGGCCAGGTCCCCAGTGGGGGGCATGTGAGAGGCAACCACACATTGATGTTTCTCTCCCTCTTTCTCCCTCCCTTCCCCTCTGTCATAAATAAATAAATAAGATCTTTAAAAAAATCATCCTCCCAATTATTTCCTTAGGTGTTATCTGATGCCTCACTAGCAGCCCCTCCAGTGTTGACTTCAATGCAGGGATTCATCCTTTGAGAGCTGGCCTAGGTTGTCAGATGCCAAGGCAGGCCGAGTGGTAGAAGAGAGGGGGGTCACAGGTGGAAAACTGATCTCCCTTCTCAAATGGTTACTTTGGCATTTAACCTGAGGGCTTTTTCTGCTACCCGGGTGACTCAGCAGAATCTGACCTGATAAAACACTGTGGATGACCACTAACAGGGAAGTCCATTAAAAAGAGATGAAGCAGAGGAAGGACTCAGGCTGACTGGCTTCCTAGTGAGCCCCCTCCCCCCGCCCCGCCCGCCCCCTCGGAGAAATCTCATTGTGAAACAGCCTGTTTTGAATGGCCTGGGGGTAATGGCTCAGGGTTAAATGACTTGATCATAGATAAGTGCTCCTGGAGACCCAGTGTTTTGGGGTAAGGGGTGAGAGTGGGGTGGCCTCTCACCTTTGAACTACTTCCCTGGAGAGGAAGGCAGGAGGAGAGGGCCCTGCTGGGAGCCAAGGTGGGGAGCCTAGCGGCTGGCCCCAGCAAAAGCTTTGCCACTCACTCTCTGGGACCCTGGGGTAGAGCAGGGATACCCTACTTTGGTGGGGGGAGGGGACTTGTAGGACTAGTTTAGCCTGAGAGAAGTACAGAAACCACTTTTTGTCTAGGAATCTGGCAGAAGCTAGAAAGAACTTCAGCAATTTCACACCTAAAACATAGCTGGATAGAGGTGTCCAACCCATGGCTCACAGGCTGCATGTGGCCCAGGGTGGCTATGAATGAGGCCCAACACAAAAGCGTAAGTTTACTTAAAACCTTTTTTTGGTTCATCAGTTTTCCTCAATGTTTATGTATTTAATGTGTGGCCCAAGACAGCTCTTCTTCCCGTGTGGCCCAGACACGCCAGAAGGTTGGACACCTCTGGAGCAGACTCCAGCCTTCACTGCTCACCCCTCCCCCGCAGCGGCAGGCCCAGTGCATTTGGGTTTTGGTCCTTCAGTATTTGTAAACTCTTGTATTTTGTGGGCCCTTCATGAGCAAGAAGGAATTTCCCATCCTGTCTGGAATGGACAGGCCAGGGCAGAGCATCAGTGAAAGCGCCTCTCAGTATAAAGACGCCAGTGACGGCCCAGGAATCCATGGCAGATACAGGACGTAAGGACCCAGCTGGGGCTGGCGCTGGGGACGTGCAGGATCAGGAAGGGGGCAGTGGGCTGGAGGGCGGAGCATTTGACCTGAAATTCATACTTGTGGGACAGCTGGCTCGGGCTCTGTGATGGCCCATTTTAGGCTCAGGACCTCCATCTACAGCTGCTCGGACACCCTAACAGAGCGACAGGCTTCCACAGCGTGGCGATCACACGGGCACCCCACACTGCTCTTCCAGGTGGGCCTCGGCTGACAGGCCAGCAGCTCCAACACCAGATTTTAGGGAAAGGCTGGAGGGCATTTTGAGGGTTGGAAACAGCTCTGAAAGCCAATCCGAATTCTGAATCTGCCTAGCAAGCTTTCAGGAGGTGCCTGTGGCTCCCGGCTCTGGGGTGTGGCCTGGCCCAGGGCACTGTCCTTTCCCATTTGGATGGGCATGCTCAACAGACACTGGAGAAGAAGGCTCCCCTTCCTTCCCTCACCTGGCAGCAGGGTGCGGAAAACAGCAAATTTCTAAATTACCTAAAATTCAGTGTCTATCATGGTAAAATAATGACAGCCCGCTGCTGACTCCTGCTCTGTGGAGGAAACTTAGTGCTGGAGAGCTCTTGTGACGCCAAAGCCCGTTCTGTCGCTGATCCTGCTGCATGTGGCCGCCGTGTAGTGTCTCCCGCTCCCCACGGGCCTGCCCTGATGTCCGACACAGGTAACTTACCTTCATGTGTAAACACGCCGTAAACAGAGTTTTTTTTTTAAGATTTTATTTATTTATTTTTAGAGAGGGAAAGGAGGGAGAAAGGGAGAGAGAGAAAAACATCAATGTGCAGTTGCTGGGGGCCGTGGCCTGCAACCCAGGCATGTGCCCTGACTTGGAATCGAACCCGTGACACTTTGGTTCGCAGCCTACACTCAATCCACTGAGCTATGCCAGCCAGGCCATAAACAGAGTTTTGACTAAATCTTCATATTCTTCTTGCACTTCTTTTCTGATTTGCTTTTCGAGATTCAGGTTCCCCTCTTCCAAGTCCATGAGACGGGCTCTCAGAGCAGTGATTTCCATGGTCATATTATGGCTGAGCTCTGCCACCTAGCAGCAGAAATAGTTCTTTTTTTTAACCAAAGGTAGTTCAGGAATTCCAGATTGCCGCTACAATTTGCACTTCTGCCTTGAACCTAATGGAGAAGGTGAATATCTCATTGGGCAAATGTGGGTGGAAGAATCTAGGTTGGTTTAAGGGCCCCACAGCAGTGCCGTGCACACAGTAGGTGCTCAGTAAATGCTTGCTGAATGAATGGCCCTAGAATGGACACTAATTAAGCCCTTTTCATTTGGTGAAAATACTTGATCTTGGCCTCCATGTTGAAATTGTCCTTCCCTTGACATTTCAGCAAACTACCTCTTCTCCTTTGAGTTGTACTTTGCAGGTGAGGAATTGAAACAACCCTTTCTCCCCAAAACCACAAAATAGCAACAAAAAGAAAAAACAAATCAATAAAAATAACAAAAATTCCCAACCAAACACAACAGAAAAAGCCCTCATTGCTTAAATAGTGAAAGCACAGTCCCTGGGGGGCTCTGCTGTGGACCCGCTTTGGTGTGGCTCCCGTGGGCCACTCCTGAAAGGGATGCAGGAAAACAGCATGGGGTAGTCCTGTGTCTGCCACTGGGACTGAGGATGTGAGACTTGGACAAGAGAAACTGCTCAGTGATAACTGACCTACCTGACCAGCATGGTGTTTGGGTGGACTCTGACCTCTCGTAAAAGATCCAGTCCCGGAAGACAAGAGAGCAGTGCACACCTCAGCTCAAACATGTATTCTTCTGACCAGGGTTCAGTTCAAGGCAACACACTCCAGGCACTTCCTATTTATGTCAATGCAGCTTCATTTAGATGCCGGGACTCTGCTCAGTGCCAGCACTGCACTCTAGGATGCCCAGTCCGGCCTCAAAGGACATCATTCACCTCCAGGCACCCACACCGTAGCAGAGGACTTGGCTCTGGGGCTAAGCCAAACTGTGGGCAAAGCTAAGACTCATGACTGGATATTTGAATGTTTCATTTGTTCAGGCTTTTGCACTTTTCTTAGGTAGACACTAAAATTACACAGAACCTCTGATGCAATCCATTTAAAAAAGTGTGCAATCTAGGACAGAAGAAGTGACTGTTGGATTCCCACCAGTGGGGTCTCATTTTAAAGAAGTCTCATCCCCAAGACCCATGATGTGCATCCTGAAGGCAGAGTTTCCTCAGGGATCCTGGCTTCTCTGCTAGACCAAGAATAGCATGAGGTGCCTTGGTTTGTCAAGGGTGGGAAGGTCAGCTATGCATCCTCCCCTGGAGCCAGCTCCTTTGTTGCTCAGCTCTTATATTTCCCACCAGACACCTCCAAAGCACACAGCTCACTCTTGCTGGGCCATCACATTTGTGGCTGAGAAGACCGGCCCAAGGAAAAGCCACTGGGCGTGCCACTCGCCCTCCGTTCTTACGTGAAAACACCTTTTCCCACCCACCCTCTGTTTTACTTTCCTCTTCAGAGTAGCTCCCTGGCCGCCCCTCCCACAGCTTCCCCACTGCAGTTCTGGCCTCTGGGAACACACCTGCTCCTTCTGACAGAGCTTCTGCCTCGCGTGCTCCAACATGTGCTCGGAACACATGGAGCAGCTCTCGAAGTTGCCGCACTCTCTTGCTGTCACGTCACAGCCCAGGGAAAGGAGGCAGGCCTCCAGGTGCTCGTTCCTGAAAGTGAAGAGGGAGGGATGTCATTCACAGCAGCTCCAGCAGGGCAGCCTCACGCGCCAGGGCTCATGTCCCAGGTTGCCTTGGCTCACAGGCCCCCTTCCATTTCTCCTCCAAAGAAAAATGTCGGCTGGAGCTTTGCAAGCCTCTCCTTCAGGCCTGCCCTTAACATGTGCAGGCCCAGGGACAAGAGTGCAAAGGGAGGTCTGCATACTATTCTAAAAATTCTAACTATTTAAAGGTTGTAAATCAAAGTAACAAGTAGTAAAATGAAAATGTTGAATTCTCCTACTTTGGAAAATAGATCTTCAAAAATGACTTGCAAGGCCAGGTTCGAATTTACCATTCTTGGACAACTCTGAGTTCTATGCTCAAATGTGGTGACTTGGGGAGAGACGCCCACCCCCCAGTTTACAGTGTGACCCGAGTCTCTTCCCCACTCTGGCCTCATGTCATGCCACACAGGGCCCTTGCGTGCACAGAAGCAGACAGTAGCCAGCTGTCCACATGCCCCACGCAGCTGCCCGGGACCGCCCCTCAGGCCTGGGTGCACACTGGCAGTGAGCTCCAGGGAGGGTGATCTGGGGAAGAAGCCCTGGGCTTGGGGAATTCCAGGGCCCCAGGCACTGGAGTGTGGTCTGGAAGGAAGGTCCAGGGTCTGAGCGTGCCTGGCCGCTGGACTGTGTGGTTTCTCACCCTGTGGGGAAGGGTGGGGCTAGAGGAGGGCCAGAGGGCCCTCTGGAGTATGGGGCATATGGCAGAGTCCCTCTTCCTGTGGCTGAATGGTCATACTCTTCACTCTCTAAGCACTCCCATTCCCTCCCTTTCTGCGAGAGATCTGGCCCCTTTTTGAAGAGGTGGCCATTGAGGAACAGAGGAAATGTCCACCCCTCCAAGGCAGGCTTAGATTTTGTCTCTGGAGAGAAATGGGAGCCAGTGTGTGGAAGGTTAGATCCTGAGTGTTGGTGAGTGTTTATGTGTGTCTCTGTGCATCTATATCAGGATGTATGTGCATTTGTGGGTGTGGCTGAGCGAGTGTCAGTGTCTCTCTGTGTATGTCTCTATTTGTATAAGTGTCTGGATATGTCTCTATGTGTCTGGGTGTGTCCCTCTAGGTGTATCAGTGAGAGTGTGTCTGTGTGTATCTGAGGGTCTTATCAGACCCACTGGATTTTGGAAGGACATCTGAGAAGGTTTATCCTGATGTCCCTGGACAAATGGAGAACAGCACAGCAGGGTGGGCTCTTGGCCACTGAAAGACTGTGCCCGAAGAACCTGGTCAGTGTGGAGGGGACCCAGAGTACGCAGCACAGGGCTGGGGGCCTGTCCTGCCAGGAACTGTTATTAATGACTTGAATGAGGTATCAAGAGCAGGTAGGGACAAGAAGTATGCTGGATGACAAAAATCTGGATTTTTAAAGATTTAAAGAGGTTCAAAGTGAACAAGAACAAGGCTGATCGCATGGCAGTAGCCAGGTGCCTAAAGGCAACGTGTGGGCTTCAGGTGGTGGTGAGCCTCATGCGTCAGCCTTGGCATGGCTGCCCAAACCCCCCACACATGGGTGTTAATCAAGCACTACACCCAGGTCAAGGGCACTCTTCGCTGGCCAGATGACCTTGAATTTAGAGGAGACTGACCAGGATGGTAGGGGTGACCATGCAGAGTGACGGAGGAAGTGAAGGTGGGTCAGTCTGAAGCAGAGAGGGCTAGCGCAGGCCCTCAAATGAGGGGGCAGCCCGGTGTCTGCTCCATTTCCCAGTTCACGTGCCCTGGCCCTGGGCCACAACCTATGGAGAAGGGTAAGGATTTGCAATCTACCACCTGCTTGGGTTCGTCCCTCTCGAGCAGGCCCTTGGTTGTAGTTTTATGGAAGCTTCACATGCGTTAGCAATGGCGCCGATTGAGTTTCCCTGACTGACCTGCCCTCAGACATCTAAAGGCTTGTTGTGAGAGGTCGGGACCAGGGGCAGAACCAGGATCCATGGTGGAGATCGTGGGGAGGCCATCACCAGCTCTGGAGGGGCTGCCTGGAGTGGGGGGTGGGGGAGTTTGGAAGAGTGAGTCCCTGTCACTACAGATGACCCAGCAGAGGCCAGAAGCCCAGCAGGCACAGACTTTGGAAGGACCTAATGCCCTAAAGTCCTATTATTCCCAGACACTAGCACTGGCTGATACCAGTCTCCTCTGTGCCCTGAGTTTCTGTGGTGCCCGATATGGGTTTGCCTGGCTCCTCATACCCACATCCCTTTCCTAGAGATCCCGTCCTCAATGTTGGGGTGAGGTGTGTAGATAGGGGATGAGCACATCCTGAGTCACAAACCTGTAGTTTTTATTGTGGTAAAATCTACATAATATAAAATTTGCCATTTTAGCCATTTTTTTTAGCATACAGTTCAGCGACATTAAGTATATTCACATTATTGTGCAATCAATTTCTAGGACACTTCATCTTGCAAAACTGAAACTCTGTACCTACTGGATGCTAACTGCCTGTTCCTCCTCCCCCTCGCCGCCGACAGCCCTTTTCTACTTCCTGTCTGTGAATCTGACTTCTCTTCAACACCTCATATGAAGGAACCATGCAGCATTCGTGCTTTTGTGACTGGCGTGTTTCACTTAGCATGATGTCTTCAAAGTTTGTCATGATCAGACATGTGTCAGAATTTCCTTCCTTTTTAAGGAGAGCCTCACAAACTTTTTGGCTCAAATGTTTTTCTGAGCCTCTCCCTAAACACCTGTGTGCCTGTGGCTGAGAACCTCTGAGCTGCAGGGACCCAAAAGGAACCACTTCCCCCTCATCAGAATTCACAGTATCACATCTGGGTGTGACTGGAAGCTTCAAGCAAATACGTACATGCAAATTATTAAGTGCTGAGGAGAAATGCACCCCCAACCAAGCTTGTGAATTCTCTATCTCATAATTCAGAACTGAGGTGATTATAAAATTATGGGGAATATTTGAAAAGCTTAAACATGTAGTTTTGGGGAAAACATTGCCATGTAAAAATTGAGCACATTTTGCTTAATCAGGTTTTTTAAAAATGGTTGAATTTCAGAGAAAACAGGATTTATATACCCAATGCACTTGTGTTTAATTTGTTAATGATCCTAAAAGCTCTTGTTATGGCCAAATAGTCACATATACTCTTGGCTTTTCAGTGGATCCCTTTGATTTAGAAAGGCACTTCCTGTCACGGCTAAAGGGCTCAAAACTCCACGAGCTGTGTGTGTGCGTGTTGTGTGTATTCAGTGTGCACTATATAGGGTTGCTACGGATTCAAATGCATACACGCAGAAAACATCATTGATGCTGGTTTCTTTTGTGGTGAGGACACTGGGGATGGTGACGCAGAGGAGGGATAAAAGTGTTACTTTTCTGGGGTAAGTTTTTTGTTTTTCATATTGTACACTTAAAAAATGTTTTCCGGTGGTATTATAGGCTATTTTGGTTTCTCTCATTAAATACTCTATACTAAAAAATTAATAATAGGAAATGTTGCTAAAAATAACTCATTTATAAACAAACCCCAAGGTTGCTTTTAAAACTGGCCAAATCTGCAAATAGACAACATGTATTCTGATTTCTCTCCCACCTTCATTAGAAATCAGTCCTTTCTCAAAATTAATGTGGTAACAAGTGACTAGAACTTTGAGTTCAGGCTGGGTGTTCACATCTTCGGTCTGAAGGGAGGAGGGGGAGTGTGAGGAGATGGGTTTGGGTGAGTGACTTTCCACCTTTTTCATCTCATGGCCCACATAAACCAATTACTAAAATTCTGTGGCACACCAAAAATACATTATGTATTTTTTCCTATATAACAAAAAGTAGGTATAATTTTGATTCACTCACACCAGACAGCTGTGTTGTGCTGGCTGTTGTCATTTTTTTATCTGACAATCTAAGGGAAAAGAGGTCAGTGCTCCTGACTAAACAGTCAGGTATTGCGTGTTTTAAAAATTCTTGCAGCACAGTGGTTGAAAAATCACTGGCTTAGGGCAAAGTCTTCCTTGTTTGGATTTATGTTTAAAACACACACACACACACACACACACACACTACAGAATGACTAGTTTTTAATACATACCTCTAGTCTACCATCCTGGTAATTCTCCATTAATCTCTGTATAAAATTGTCCACTATTTGTGGTCTGATAACTGAAAAGTTTTCTTTCATGACCTGGTGTGTCCAAAGGTCTAGGAGAAGAAACATGCCAACACTAATATCATGAAACACTGAACAACCATCAATGGCTGTGAGATGGTGCCTCTCTGAGACAGCACTGGACACAGCAAGCTGTCATTTCCAGATACACAAAAACTAGTGGGTGATGATGTGGGGGAGGGGGGAGGAGGTTGAGGACATGGGATCTTTTAGAATGTGGAAATAAGGAAGATACATATCTAACGAAAGTCCTAATGAAAAGATTTGGAAAAGCACCTCTGAAGGTGGTGAACAATATTGCTGCCATAACTAAAAATCCTCAATCAAATGTTATTATTGATCCTGCATGATATGTTCAGGATCATGTAGTATCTGTATGTATCTGAATAATTCTTTTGGCTTAACACAATCATCAGAAATAAATGAAGAGCAAGGATCTGTATCTGTTACATTATGTTCCTGGTGTTGCAGGCAAAATTAATTTGAATATAGAATTAATAAAAAATAGGAGGAAATCCAAAAGAGAGGAAAAAGAGTCACAGATTAGAAATGTTGAGAGCGGAGAGACTATAAACATTAGCTCTTGGACTGAGGCCAGAATAGGGATGACACATAAGAGATGAGGCACGTACACAGTTACTCAGAATAGCATTGTTTAGGGCAGCGAAAGCTTGGAACCGACACCTAAACTGCACTACAGTCTCTCGGTGGAATAGTGTGCAGCTATAAAAAAAGAGAACCATCTCCATATGCTGATGTGAAGAGAAGCATTGACTGTTAAGTGAAAAATTCAACTTGCAAGTTCTGGCCAAGATGGAGGCGTAAGTATAGGTAGA